CCCTACTGTATATGATTATGAAGGGCAGCAATTTTTTTTTTCAAAAAAAAAAAAAAAAAAATTGCGGCAACACCAAATGACAAATACGTGGATGTTTTTTAATCTCATCAACAACAACAACTACCTGTTGATTTTATCAAAAAAATTTTTTTTTCATTGTTTTTTATTTCATGGGGATGATTCTTGTTGCAATCTCTCTCTCTCTCTCTCTCTCCTCTTTACGAGAGTAGTAGCAGTAGGCTAAAGTGTTAAAGGGCAGTAATATTTTTTTTTTTTTTGATAATATTCTCTCCATCGACCAACCGATAACCTAAACTAACCAAACAACAAAATAAATCAAGCAGCATAGTGGTGATGATCATTCATTGATCATATTTTTTTTATGATGATGATGATGTTATCATCGTTGATGCAAAAAAAACATTTTCAATAATCATCTGATAATCAAGAAAGAAAAAAAATTCTGAAAATTAGGGAAATTTACCTGTATTTTTTTTTGGTGGCTATTTCAACAGTTGGTTATACCAATCATTGGTTCGATGGCTTTTTTTCTTTACCTTTTCTTTATCCAAAACAATGAATGAATGAATGATTCACCTTCGCCATCCACAATATTTAACATCGACACAAGCATCGACCAAGAACGGATCAACTTCAACTTTTTTACTTGTTGATCATCATCATAGTGGTTAAGGTGGTTGTTGTTGTTGTTGTTATATCAGTCAACCATAACAACAACAACAATTGTTTTTGCTTCTCTTCATTCATTCATTCACCTTTGTGTTGATTTTCTTCTTCAGCAAATATTAAAAAAAAAATCTTTTTTCTTTTTTGTCCAGAAAAGGCCACCATTCTATTATTATCTTTGAAGTTTCTTTCGAATGTTTGTGTATGTTCGAATCAAATCGACTCGGTTCGAATGTTTTGACTGTGCGTACTGAAGACTATTATTTTCCTGTTTTTTCCGTCGTCGTCGTCGTCGTCGATGTCTTTGCCGATATCTGATGTGAATTGATGGTGATGTGATGGTGAATGTACACACACACCAATAGCCCAAACAAATTGAACGGTTTTTTTTGGTCAATTCCATCATTTACCTTTATTTTTTCTTCGTAAACCAAACAATCATTAATTTTTTTTTGTGCTTATGTGTCTTGTTGATGGTTTTTTTCTTTCGATTGATTTTGATTTTCCGATCAATCAACATCATTAAGTGATTTTTTTTTCTCTTCATCGATTACAATGATTTGATTTGATGTCGTCAGAATAGATTGATTTTTTGGTGGTGGTGTTTTTTTGGTGAATATTTTTTTTCTCTAATTCGAATCTTTTTTTTCTGGAGCAATGATGACGTTCATATGAATATTCAAAGATTTTCTTAATCTACCTGTTGAATATACCTACATAATCATCGTTCGAAAACGATTATCATCAAAATCATCATCAAAAATGGTTATCGTAACCAGGGTAAGTTTTTGATAATTTAATTTCCCGTTATTTCTGTTTTACTTACCGGGTCATTTCGAATTGGAAAAAAAAATTTCATTTTTATTAGGACGATTATATTTGGGTTGAACCACAAACCAAACAAGCATTCGATGTTGCTATCGGTGCTCGTGTGAAAGCAGTTGAAGGACAAAAAACATTGATCATTGATGATGATGGCAATGTATGTTTAATTTGCAATGGTTTTTCCATTTCCCGAAAAAGAAAAGAAATTAATTTTTTTTTTGTTGAAAAATAGGAAATATGGTTAGAACCCGAACGACGGATCAAAGCAATGCATCCAACATCGGTTCATGGTGTTGAAGATATGATTTCATTAGGTGATCTACATGAATCAGGAATACTGCGTAATCTTTTGATTCGTTATAATGATAGTATTATCTATGTAAGTTATCAAGCAAATTCTTTAACGTTTTTTTTTTTTGAATAAATATCAATGTTTTTCCCCCATCTCTTTCTCCACCCCCGCATTCAAAAAAAAAGACATATACCGGTTCAATATTAGTGGCTGTAAATCCATATCAAATATTACCAATATATACAATTGAACAGATAAAATTATATCGTGACAAAAAAATTGGTGAATTACCACCACATATATTTGCTATCGGTGATAATGCCTATAATAATATGAAACGTTATGGACAAAATCAATGTATTATAATTAGTGGTGAAAGTGGTGCAGGTAAAACTGAATCAACCAAATTAATTTTACAATATCTGGCTGCTATTAGTGGCCAGCATTCATGGATTGAACAACAAATATTGGAAGCTAATCCAATACTTGAAGGTAAAGGATTTATCATTTGAATAATGAATTTTTTTTCTGAAATAATCTTTTTAAATTTGAAGCCTTTGGAAATGCCAAAACAATTCGTAATGATAATTCAAGTAGATTTGGAAAATATATTGATATTCATTTCAATAAACACGGTGTGATTGAAGGTGCAAAAATTGATGAATATTTATTGGAAAAATCACGTATCGTTAATCAGGCGATTGATGAAAGAAATTATCATATTTTTTATTGTATGTTGGCTGGTCTTAGTAAAGAAGATCGAACGAAATTAGAATTACAAGATGCATCAAAATATTATTATTTGACACAAGGTGGATCGATTACCTGTGAAGGACGTGATGATTCAGCCGAATTTGCCGATATTCGTTCGGCAATGAAAGTATTAATGTTTACCGATTCAGAAATTTGGGATATATTGAAAATCCTAAGCCTTTTACTTCATATTGGTAATATAAAATATAAAGCAATGTTAGTATCAAATTTAGATGCATCAGAAATTATAAATATATCAAGTACGGAAACCGCCGCACGAATATTACAAGTTGATCGACAAAATCTAATTGATGCACTGACAACAAGAACAATATTTGCACATGGTGAAATTGTTGTATCAACATTAAGCACTGAACAGGCACAAGATATACGTGATGCACTGGTTAAAGGAATTTATGGCCGAATGTTTATATGGATTGTTAATAAAATTAATTCAGCAATTTATCGCCAAAAAACATCACAACAACATTATCGTAGTTCAATCGGTGTTCTCGATATATTTGGTTTTGAAAATTTTAATGTTAATAGTTTTGAACAATTTTGTATAAATTATGCAAACGAAAATCTACAACAATTTTTTGTTCGTCATATTTTCAAATTGGAACAAGAAGAATATAATCTGGAAACAATTAATTGGCAACATATTGAATTTGTTGATAATCAAGATGCATTGGATTTGATTGCCACCCGGCCAATGAATATAATGGCATTGATTGATGAAGAAAGTAAATTTCCAAAAGGAACTGATGTTACATTGTTGAATAAATTGCATAAAACACATAGTACAAATGATAATTATCTAAAACCAAAAGCTGATATTGATCAATCATTTGGCTTGAATCATTTTGCTGGTGTTGTTTTTTATAAAACTGAAGGTTTTCTTGAAAAAAATCGTGATACATTCAATGCCGATCTAATACAATTGATACAAGTTAGCCAGAATAAATTTCTAAAACAATTATTTGCAAATGATTTTTCAATGGGACAAGATACTCGAAAAAAAGCACCAACATTGAGTACACAATTTAAAAAATCTTTGGATTCATTAATGCGACAATTAAGCAGTTGTCATCCATTTTTCATTCGTTGTATTAAGCCAAATGAATATAAAAAACCAATGGTAAGCGAGTTTGTTTTTTTTTCGTGTATTTTTCACGTTTTTTCTGTAACCCTTTTTAGATGTTTGATCGAATTCTTTGCTGTAAACAGCTAAGATATTCAGGAATGATGGAAACCATACGAATTCGTCGTGCTGGCTATCCAATACGACATACATTTGCAGAATTTGTTGAACGATATCGATTTTTGATTTCGGGTATACCACCAGCACATAAAGTTAATGATTGTCGTTTGGTTACTGCCAAAATTTGTGCCACCGTTCTAATCAAATCGGATTATCAATTGGGTAAAACAAAAGTTTTTCTTAAAGATGCACATGATCTGTTTCTGGAACAAGAACGTGATCGTGTATTAACCAAACATATTATTACATTACAACGTGCAATTCGTTGTTGGTATTATCGAAGAAAATTTCTGCAAACAAAAAATTCCGCAATCATAATACAAAAATATTATCGTGGATTTATACAGAGGAAAAAATTCCGTCAAATTCGTATCGGCTATTATCGTTTACAAGCCCTGATACGTTCCCGAATTTTAACCAATCAATTTCGTTGTCTACGTAATCATATTGTTGCATTACAAGCAATTAGTCGTGGTTATTTACTACGTAAAGAATTTAAATCAAGACAAAAAGCTGCCATTAAAATTCAATCATTCATAAGAGGTTTTATTGCCCGGAAAAAATTTATAAAATTACGTGATGAAAGTCAAAAATTAATTGAAGCAAAAATCCTAAAAGAACAAGAAGTCAATCAATTAATGAAAAAAATGAATGCAAAAAAGGCAAAAGAAATTGCCGAACAAAAATATAATGAAAGATTACAGGAATTTGAAATCCGTAAAAAAGAAATAGAAATTGAAGATCAGAAAAAAATTGCCGAGAAAAAAGCAGCTATTACGGATGCTGTATTAAGACAAGAAGAAGTTGTTGATGATTCAAAATTGGTTGATGCAATGTTTGATTTTCTACCAAGAGCTGAAAGTCAAAATGAAAATCAAGCGCAAAATGGTGTTGGTGGTGGTCAAAATCAAAATGGTCCCAGTGCTTTTAGTGATTTAGAACAACCATTGAATGTGAATAATAATGAACAAAATGGTCAAAATGATACAAGTAATGAATTAATTGTACCACAATTACCACAAGAAAATGATAATGAAGATTTATCTGAATATAAATTTCAAAAATTTGCATCAACATATTTTCAGGCAAATGTTACACATCAATATCAACGAAAACCATTAAAACAACCATTATTGGCATTAAAAACACAAGGTGATTGTATGGCATCAATAGCATTATGGATTACAATTCTACGATTTATGGGTGATTTAGGTGAACCAAATTTTCATACATTAGGTAGAGATAATACATCGGTTATGAGTAAAGTAACAGCAACATTAGGTAGAAATTTTATTAAAAGTAAAGAATATCTTGATGCACAATTAAATGGTCATCATAATGATGATCAACAACAACAACAACAACAACAACAAAATAATAATCATGAACAAACAGTGAAACCAAAATCTCGTTCAATTCGTAATAAATTAGTATCATTAACATTGAAAAAAAAGAATAAATTAAGTGAAGATGTACGACGACGATTGCAGGAAGATGATTTGGCTGCCGATACTTATAGTAGTTGGTTAGAATCAAGGCCAACATCGAATTTGGAAAAATTACATTTTATCATTGGACATGGTATACTTCGTGAAGAGCTTAGGTTGGTTGATTTATTTCTTGTTTGTTTGTTCGATAATCTATTTAACAACAACAAAAACATGATTGGTTTTTTCTGATCGATTTTTCTTTCTTTCTTTCTTTTTTTCTTTATTCAAAGGGATGAAATTTATTGTCAGATTTGTAAACAATTGACTCATAATCCATCAAAAAGTTCACATGCTAGAGGTTGGATTTTGTTGTCGCTTTGTGTAGGTTGTTTTGCACCATCCAAAAAGGTAAAGTCAAAAAACAAGAAAAAAAAAGAAATCTGTTAATAATTTATCACGGTTGATTTTTTGATTTTTGTAATCCCGATTTGGCATCAATTTAATTTTGATTGAATTTTTTCTTTTTCTTTTCAAGTTTGTAAAATATTTGTTGAATTTCATCCGAGAAGGACCACCCGGTTATGCACCATATTGTGAAGATCGATTACGACGAACATTTGTAAATGGTACAAGAGGACAGCCACCATCATGGTTAGAATTACAGGCAACCAAATCAAAACGTCCACTTTTATTACCAATTACATTTATGGATGGTAATACAAAAACATTATCAGCCGATTCAGCAACAACAGCACGAGAATTATGTGCAAAATTGTCGGAAAAAATTGATCTAAAAGATCAATTTGGATTTTCTCTATACATTGCTTTATTTGATAAAGTTTCATCATTAGGTAGTGGTGGTGAACATGTTATGGATGCTATTTCACAATGTGAACAATATGCCAAAGAACAAGGTGCACAAGAACGTAATGCACCATGGCGTTTATTTTTTCGTAAAGAAATTTTCGCTCCATGGCATGATCCAAGTGTGGATCCAGTTGCCACTAATCTTATCTATCAACAAGTAGTACGTGGTGTAAAATTTGGTGAATATCGTTGTGAAAAGGAAGAAGAATTGGCTATGATTGCTGCACAACAATATTATGTTGAATTTGGTCAGGAATTTAATACGGAAAATCTTTCAACAGTTATTGTTAACTATATACCTGATCATCATTTACATTCGAATGAAAAAAGTATTGAAAAATGGACTAATCTTATCATAATGGCCTATAAAAAGGTAATGTTTTTTTTTGTTTTCTCACAAAAAAAAAGAGTTTATTTTTGTCAATGATAATGATAATTGTGTTTATTAATGTTTGTATAGAGCTATTTTCATAAAGAAAAAATTGCATCAATCAAAATCAAAGAAGATATTACTGAATATGCAAAATATAAATGGCCATTATTATTTTCACGGTTCTATGAAGCACTTCGTATTGAAGGACCATTATTACAAAAAAATGATATTATTATTGCTATAAATTGGACGGGTATTTATATGGTTGATGATCAAGAACAAGTATTACTTGAATTATCATTTACAGAAATAACTAATACTGAAAGTCATAAAAGTGATCGACCTTTTATGCAAAATTTCATTATAACAACTGTTCGTGATGAAAAATTTGTCTTTCAATCACCAAATTCGAATGATATTTGTGAATTGGTTAATTTTTTTATTGATGGACTGAAAAATCGTTCAAAATTTGTTATTGCAACACAAGATTATCGAGCACAAGCATCAAGTGCATTATCATTTAATCAAGGTGATTTAATGATTTTGGAAAATAATTTGAATGGGGAAAATGTTCAAAAACAATCTTGGGTACAAGTACGATTGGATAAAAGTGGTGAAAAAGGTGATGTTCCAACAGAATATCTTTATGTTTTACCAACAACAAGTAAACCATCCAATTCAACATTGGCCATATTTAATGATAGTAATTTTGAAGAACATCGTACCCTTTATTCACAAGCTAATGGTTGTTTTAATACAAGTCATGAAAAGCCACATACTCTGGAAGAATATGCAATCGATCATTTTCGTCCGCCACCAAAAAATACATTTCAACGAACGTTGACATTTACCTCACCAAGAAAACGTAATGCTGAACAACTATGGAAACATTCACGTGATCCGATTAAACAACCGTTATTGAAAAAATTATTAAACAAAGATGAATTAGTACAGGAAAGCTCATTTGCATTTAATGCCATTCTTAAATATATGGGTGATCTTCCTTCAAGGCGAGTACGTAGCAGTAATGATCTTACTGATCAAATATTTGAAGGACCATTAAAATATGATATATTAAGAGATGAAATTTATTGTCAAATAATGAAACAATTGACCGATAATAAAAATCGTTTAAGCGAAGAAAAAGGATGGGAATTAATGTGGCTGGCAACCGGATTATTTGTTCCTAGTCAAACATTATTACGTCAATTGACATTGTTTTTGAAAACAAGACGGCATCCAGTTGCAATGGATTCGCTGCAACGATTACATAAAACATTGCGTAATGGTCAACGTAAATATCCACCACATTTAGTTGAAGTTGAAGCTATACAACATAAAACAACACAAATATTTCATAAAGTTTATTTCCCTGATGATACGGATGAAGTAAGTTGATTTTGAAGGCTTATTTTGATTTTACAAAAATTGAATTAATTTTTCTTTGTTTCATTTCAAGGCTTTTGAAGTAGATTCAAGTACAAGAGCCAAAGATTTTTGTCTAGAAATTGCACAAAGATTAAATTTAAAATCGGCTGAAGGATTTAGTTTATTCGTAAAAATAGCCGATAAAGTTATTAGTGTACCGGAAGGAGATTTTTTCTTTGATTTTGTTCGCCATTTAACTGATTGGATACGAAAAGCTCGGCCATCACGTGATGGTAGTGTACCACAATTTACTTATCAGGTTTTTTTTATGAAAAAACTTTGGACCAATACTGTACCGGGTAAAGATCGTAATGCTGATATTAGATTTCATTATCATCAAGTAAGTGTCGGGGATTTTCTTCATTTTCATTTTTTTCTCACAATAATGTTCTTTGTTTTCAACAGGAATTACCTAAATTACTTCGTGGATATCATAAATGTACGAAAGAAGATGCAGCACGTTTGGCTGCATTAATCTTACGTGTACGATTTGGTGATAGTAAATTGCCAATGGAATTGCAATCAATTCAGTAAGTTGGTTGTTTCTAATGGAATCTGTCTAATAATCCTGATTTTTTTTTTAATCCTAAAGTAATTTTTTACATGAAATTATACCAAACGATTTGATAAAAACACAAAGCTCAAGTGAATGGAAAAAAGTAATTTGGAATTTTGTCAAGACTTTAACTTTGATTTTAATCAATATATTTTTCTCTTTTATAAAAGCAAATATTGATACTATATAATCAGGATTCCGGTATGACACCCGAAAATGCTAAGATAACATTTTTAAAATATGTTCATAAATGGCCTACATTTGGATCGGCATTTTTTGAAGTTAAAGTATGTTTTGTTTTTTTGTTTGTCAATGTTTTTTTCTTATTATTCAATTTTTTTTTGTTGACTGCACCTGCCTACCTAATTACAAAACAAATCAGCAAACTGGTGATACAACCAATTATCCGGAACATTTATTAATTGCCATCAATAAAAATGGTGTCAGTTTAATTGATCCGAATACGAAAAATATTTTGGTCACACATCCATTTACAAGAATTTCCAATTGGAGTAGCGGTATTACTTATTTTCATATGACAATTGGAAATTTAGTACGTGGTAGTAAATTACTTTGTGAAACATCATTGGTATGTATTGTCGGATTATTTGAAAAAAAAAATCATCAGTTAATTTTTATATTTTCATTTTCCAAAAAAAAGGGTTATAAAATGGACGATCTACTTACATCATACATAAGTTTAATGTTGAATAATCTGAATAAACAGAAAAATACTATTAAATCATCAAAGTGAAATGAAAAATTATCGAAAAAAACAAACAAACAAACAAACAGATTGACAGATCTGCAGATATAATATACAACATCTTTTGTGATAAAAATCAAAAAATATTAAAGACTTGAATAATTCATCAAGTTATCATCATCATCATCATAATCATCATCAACAAACAAAAAAAAGCCATGCAATCATTCATTCATTCATTCATTCATTTTATCATCTGGAATTATTTGAAAATTTGAATAAAGAAAATAAACAATTAAAAATTTTTTCATTATTATTTTTTTTAAATTTAATTTAATTTTAATCAATAATGTGTGTGTGTGTTGTGTGGATGGATGTTTTGTTTCGTTAAAAAAAATGGAGGGTACAAAAACAATAACGGCGACGATTATGGGGGAGGAAAAAAAGATTTTTTAAAAAGATTTTTTAAAAAGATTTATCCGATTTTTCAAATGGTAAAATTTAAGGGAAAATATTTCAGTTCAAAAGAAAAAAATCAAAATCAAAAAATTTTTTGTTTGGTCTGATAATTTGTGTGTCGTACAAATGATTTTTTGATAATTTTTTTTTTTTTTTAATTTCAAATTTTTTTTCTTCTTTATTTATTTAATTAGCAAATCATTATAGAGAGTAAATTAATAATAATAATTATAATTTAAAAAGTAGCAATAAGAAATGTATGATTGGGTCACACATACACACAGGATCAAGTGAGAGACAGAAAGATATACGCGACACACACACACATACATAGACCAACCAAAACAAAATTTGGTTAAAAATTATGTTTATTTTTTTTTTAAATATTTTTTTTTGTTATAATGTTTGTAAAATAATAGCTTGGTATGTGTATGTGTGTTTTGGATTTATGTGTGATTCGAATGTGATGGAATCCAAAAATGTTTCTAAAATTTCATTCAGTTTTTTTTCTGTTGGTTTTTTTTATTTAAAAAAATTGGTTTTTTTGCAAAATTTAATGTGAGACAAATACACACACGCATACATAATTGGAGAAAAATTTTTTTTTAATTAGGGGCTAATTTAAAATAGAGTAGTTGTTCGGGGGTCTGAATAAAATTATCGAATGGTGGTTTGTTTGTCTATTTTTTAGCTCCTAAAATTTCTTCGGTCAATTCATTGATGCTTGTGTGATAAAATTCTTCAATTTGTTTTAAGGTTTTCAAATCTTCATCAGTAACAAGATTAATAGCAGTACCTTTACGACCAAAACGACCGGATCGTCCAATTCTAAGATGAAAATTGGAAAAAAAAACATTATTTTCAATCAATTTTTTTTGAATTTTCTTCTAATCCTTTACCTGTGAATGTAATTTTCGAGATTTACAGGCAAATCGTAATTAATGACAAGCGAAACTTGTTGAACATCGATACCACGAGCTAATAGATCGGTTGTAATAAGTATACGAGATGAACCGCTACGGAATTCACGCATAATGAGTTCACGTTCGGTTTGTGTCATATCACCATGCTAAATAAGAGAAAAAAATTGAATTAGAAATTTTTTTTCAATACAAAATTATGTAGATAATGTCATTGAGAAATACATTCATTAGATTGGATGAGAAGTGTTTTCTCACCCAAAACATTATCAAGAATAATTTTCGTCACTGCGACAGATTTATCAAGAATTGTAAACATCAAGACAAATGCTTAAAAGCGACGAAGCTAATTAAAAAAAACTAATCGATTCAAATTTACTTACCATTGATGATACCGTGTAATCTTGTTCTTTGAGCATCTGTGCCAACCAATGGACCCGTTTTCTAGTGTTACAAAAAATAACTGCCTGACTGACTGTCATAATTGAATACAGATCGGTCAATGCAACTAATTTGTCCTCATCATTTGGAACTTGTAGATAGCATTGTGTGATACCTTCCAATGTTAATTCTTCTTTTTTAACTAAAATCTTGATTGGATCACGCATAAATTTGCTCGTTACATCAAATACGTCGGCAGGCATTGTGGCTGATAACAATATTACTTGCACATCTGGACGCAAATGACAGAACACATTGTAAATCTGATCCTTAAAACCACGTGACAACATTTCATCGGCTTCATCAAGAACGAAAATTTTAATCTTGTCGGTTTCTTAACAAAAAAAAAACAAAATTGTTAAAACTATTTTGATCATTTCAAAAAAACACTTACTCAAATGGCCTCGTTGAATCATATCAGATACACGTCCAGGCGTACCGACCAAAATATGTGTTCCCGCTTCAAGCGTACTAATGTCATGATAGACATTGGTTCCACCGATACAAGCATGGCATTTTACATTCAAATAGTCACCCAATGCAACTACAACTTTTTGGATCTACAAAACAAAGTATTGGATAAGCATTAATTTGGAACAAATTCGATTTTTTTTAACTCACTTGTTGGGCCAATTCACGAGTTGGTGCCAATATGAGTGCCTGGCATTCATTTTGGCTTGGTTCAATACGTTGAAGAACAGAGATAACGAATGTTGCTGTTTTACCAGTACCGGATTGAGCTTGAGCGATAACATCATTACCAGAAATACATGGTAAAATTGCCTTCTGTTGAATGGTTGATGGTTTTTCAAAACCAAAACTATAAATTCCACGTAAAAGTTCTTCTCTCAAATTCATATGATCAAAAGATTCGGCGAACATCTTTTCAAAAAAAAAGAAAAAGAAAAACAAAAATTATAATTTTTATTAAAACAAAAAAAAACTTCAACAACAATAAAAAATTAACATACCTGATTTTGGCTTCTTTCATCGGAGCCATCATTATATCTGGAAATATACAAAAATCAAGTTTTTGAATTTTACAAAAGAATTATTTAAATTATCAAAAAAACAAAAACAAACAAACATACCTTTCATCAACATTATCCGACATAATTTACTAAAATTTGATTTTCAAAATTTAAAAATAAAAAAAAAATCGAAGAAATTATAATAATAATTTTAATTGACGCGAATACGAGAATATTAAGGTTTGCTTTTAGCCACACACACACACGGCTTTTTGTAAATGTGATGATGAAGTATATAATATAAGCGAAATTTTTTTTTTTTTTTTTTTTTTTGCGCACACCAAATTTATTGATGCTGGCTGGCTTGCTTGCTTGCTTGCTTTACCAATGAATCGAATATTACAATACACACACTTCAATTATATGGTGTGTTTGAGCAGCAGCATGCATGCATGTAAGCAGGCAAGCATTTTTTTTCTTTCATATAGCGGACATAAAGACTCACTCAACACACACACGCACACAACCGGAAATATTACACACCGGTCTTATGGTGTTTCCTTTTTTTACGCATGCGTTTTGACATTTGATTAAAAAAACCACATTGTTTTTTCATAAAGTATCGATTGTTGGCAATATTGTGTGTGTGTGTGTTAAAAAGTATCGATAGTTTTTTTTCTGTTGGTGATTGAAGCAGTGGTAGTGGCAAATGATTTAAGAAATATAAAACCATTTCAATCCAATCATAAAATGAATGACTCATCCGGTTGAAATAGATTGCAAATTATGTAATCAAATGAAGGTTTCTCTCCGAATGTTTTTCTGTCAAACTTTGATGATAATAATGATGAAATCTAATGAAATTATCATCGAAAATTGATTACATTTGATTTCAATGATTCTTTTATTCGAATTAAATTCGTTTAGATGAATTATTTTATAGATTATTTTCTAATTATTTTATCTGCATTATTAACATTTATTCGTTCGTTACAAAATGATTTTATTTTCGATGATCAAGAAGCTATTATTAAGAATAAAGATATACAACAAGATTTAGATACAAATATTTTTTCAATAAAAATATTTCAAAATGATTTTTGGGGAACAAATATTGCTACCGATTCTAGTCATAAATCATATAGGCCATTAACTGTTATCATTTATCGATTGATTGCAAAGTTTGTCGCAATCATCAATCATAATAATAAAACATCGTTATCATCCCAATCTTTAGATCCATTTCCATTTCATTGTATAAATTTATTGGCCTATTGTGTTTGTTGTTGTTTTACGTATCTAACCCTTCAGAATTGGTTGAAATCCAAATTGAATTCTTGTAAAGAATTTCGTCAATTAGCATTGAAAATTACCCTGTTTTTCACCATACATCCATTACATTGTGAACCGGTATCCACTTGTGTAGGTTTAGCCGATATTTTGTCAGCAACAAGTTCATTGATTTCATTGAATTATTTTGTATCAAATCTTGATCTATACGATTATCCTACGAATAAATCATCATCATCATTATTGAAATGGATTCGAATTCAATTGAACATTATTCTGTTTGCATTTGCATCGATGTTGTTCAAAGAACAAGGCATCACAATATTGGTAATTGTTATTTGAAATTTTGAAATTTCGAAATTTCTAATTCAATATTCTTATTAGGGTTTTCTTTTGATCCTTTTGATTCAATTATGGCTGGCTAATAATCGCATTCTACATCAGAGAAGATTAATATCTACCGTTATCATTTATTTGGTGACGATAATCGGATTTCTTTATCTTCGATTATGGTTAATGAATTTTAAATTACCACGATTTGGTTCAATGGATAATCCAGCATCACATTTAACGAATCGATTATTTCGTTTAATCAATTATAATTATATTTATTTCTGGAATACTGTGATTACAATTTGTCCAATTTGGCTTTCATTTGATTGGTCAATGGGTTGTATTCGTTTAATCGAAACATTCAATGATTATCGTTTTATATTGGTAATATTGTTTTGGATAACAGCCATAATTATAATCATTCGAATTTGTTTTACCGAACCAAATTTATTACCATTCATTCTATTTACAATCATTACATTTTTACCTTCATCAAATATATTTTTTCAAGTTGGTTTTGTTATTGCTGAACGTAATCTATTTCTACCGATTCTTGGTTATTGTTCTGTTTTTGTTCATTTACATTATCGATTAACAAAATCAATTGCTCAACGTTCTTCAATATTGAACAAATTATTCTACCTGTTGCTCATCTTTTTAACCATTCGTTCCTATCAGGTATGTTCGATGTTATTTGATTTGATTCGTTTTTTTTCAAACAAAAATTCATTTGATCATCAATAGCGATCTGGACATTGGAATAATGAATTAAAATTATACGAACTGGACAGCCGCGTTTGTCCAAATAATGCAAAAATCTATTATAATATTGGAAAAATATCAGCCGATTTAGGTAATCGAACGAAAGCAATCGATAATTATCGTCATTCATTATTGTTATATGAAAATTATACAAATGCATTGAATAATTTGGCAAATATATTGAAACAAACTAGTTCGGAAGAATTACATGAAGCTTCGAAACTTCTTCAACGTGCATGTCAATTAGATCCTGAATTTGCAACTGGTTGGATGAATTTAGCTACCGTTGAAATGTCATTAGGAAATTTTCAAAAATCTGAACAATATTTTTATCGTGCATTAGTGTTACGTCCAAATCATGCTAATACTCATTTCAATATGGGTAATTTGGTGAGTTTTTTTTTCTTGCAAACTGACCAAATATTTGATTTTAACTCTTTTTGTTTTCTCACTCAAGTATATTAAACAAAAACGATTTAAAGATGCTGAAAATTCATTCAATCGTGCTATTGAATTAAATTCAAAATTTGTGAAAGCATGGCATAATCTAATTCTTTTGAAACAAAATGAAAAATCCTATGATCAAGCATACGAATTGGCTAGAAAAGCATTAATCGAATTGCCTGATGATGATAGTTTATATTTTCTTATTGGTAATATTTGTGGACAATATTTACAAAAATTTCAAGAGGCTGAACAATACTTTTTGAAAGCAATAAGATTAAAACCCGAAAATCCAAGTTATTTAAATAATTTAGCTGTTTTATATCATAAAATTCAAAGATATTCGGATGCAATCTATTATTATCAACAAACATTATTGGTGAATCCTGGACATTTGAATGCAAAAGATAATCTGAATAAATTATTGATACAACAACAAGAACAGAAAAAAACAAGAAAAATCATTTAATTTCATAAGCAAATAATTAAGGGTTAATAAAATAAAATAAAATACAAAGAAAAATTGAATTAAAATAACACAGAATAATAATAATAATTCTTTTTAAAAAATGATTTTAAAAAAACTTGAAAAACAACAACAACAAATGAAGTGAAAAAAACAACATCGATGATGATAATCAACGGTGGTTATATATTAACAGTACGACAAAGTTGATCCATAAAATTAGTAACTAAACCACCAGCAACGCTACCATTATTATTATTACCATTATTATGATGAAAATTTATTGACATATAAGCACTATTAAATAATGAACGTACTTCTAATAAACGTTCACAACGTTGTTTTTTCAATCGTTTATTCTTATTCTTGTTGTTGTTTGATTGATTATTGAATGATGATAACGATGTTGTTGGCGATGATGATTGTGGTAAATTCAATGGATTATTTGGATTTAATGATTTTTTACAATTATCATTGCTGTTGTTTGAATGATTACAATTATTGGCCAATGAACTAAATGATTCTGGTGAACTAAAATGTTGATTTAAAATTGAATGATTATCAATAATGCTCGATGCTTCCGATACAAATTGCCAACTATCCGAACGACATAATGAATCATCATTACCACTACCATCACCATTTGTTAATGAATTTGATTGATGATGATGATTATGATGATTATTATTATTTACAATCGGTATCTGTACCGGTTGTGTTGATGAATGTAAATTATCAAAAAGATTATCATCATTATTAAATGAATTATTTACTCTTCGTATTGGCAGTGGTGGCGATGGTGATGATGATGATCCAAAATGATTAACAGTATCATCAACATCATTCAATGTTAATGTAGCAATCATTTCAGATGGCAATGATTCTTGAATATCTTTAGTTGTTGTTGTTGTTTGTTGTTGTTGTTCAAATTCAAATGTCGATACTAATGAATATGAATCTTCAGGTTTATTATTATTTTGTTGTTGATTTAACAATAAACTAGATGAACTACCAATACTATTGTTTGCTGAAGTATTGCTGCAGTTGTTTGCATTATTATTCGGAATGTTTTCAATAACAAAATCTTCATATAATGTAAAACTATCGGTGCTAATTTTTCTTTCAATTTTTTCATCTTGATCGCTTATTATCGGTTCAGATTGTTGTTGTTGAATATTATCAATACAAAATTCATCATCCGTAATAAATTTTAAAAATTGAAAACAAAAAAACATTATCTCTTCACCTTTATTCAAACGATCATTAAGATTATGACCAAACAATAACCAATCATATGCAACAGTTAAATAACAAATTTCTACTGATGTTAATGAACGGTGAATTTTTCCATCAGCCCATAATGTTAAACGTAATAATGATATAAATAATGGTGTACGATCCCAACCAGATATACAATGTATTAATATTGATGAATCAAATTCATTTAGAAAATAAAGTATTAATTTTATATAATTCCTGGTTAGATTAATTACATCCCATTTACGATAATCATTAAAATTTAATTGTAAAATTCTGGATATTTCTTTGGAATTATTAAAACCAAATTCAGCATCAACAAAATCTTGATTCCAATCATAAATCAAACCTTCACCTGAATAACTATTATCACGATATTCACGAAAAAATTCACAACCAGGATAAGGAAGGGTTAGAATATTAAAATCTTGATAACGATTTTTTTTATCCGCTTTTTCCGATGATGTTACATTCATACCGAATTTTACTTTTTTCTTTTCCAACATTAGATCACAAATAAGTTTTACATTCAGATATTTTAATAATCGAATATCTTGATTACGAAAATAGGTAAATAATTTTGTTGAATCAGCTAATGAATTTGGTCGTACAGATGGTGGTGGTGGTGAATTATTTTCAATATGAATATGATTTGCCTGTATAAAATCATCATCATCATCAACACCAATTGTTTCGATAACATTTTCCTCATGATTCATCATCATCAAACTGGATGATTTTGTATTTGATGATTTCGATGATGATGATGTATCATTAAATGTATAATCCAATACTGAACGGCCAAATATTTCAGCAGCACTGGATAATGTTGCCGAACGACAAATATATTTATCTTTATATAGAATAACCGGTACTGGAAAACGTGCACGACAACGTGCAACACGTGCTTTTCCAATCAAATCTTTTAATTTTTGAATATCAAATTTTTTCTGGCTGGAATTTTTTTCCTTTCGCTGCTGTTGTTGTAAATCTACAATCGGTATAATATTATCAACTTCATCACCGTCGTCATCATCGATATCAACGAGCACTTGATTATCGTTCGATGTTTTTCCATTACGATGATTTTCATTATCGTTCGATTCAATTTCAGGAATAATAATTTTTGATGGATAACTTGTTGATAATTGTCCACGGTCATTTTCAATTAATAAATAATCTGAATAATCTTTTGATATTAAATTTATACATTGATTTTCAATCCTTGAAATTATTGATTGACCATTATCATTACCATTATTATAATTATAACGATTATTATTATTATAATTACTACTACGATATGGTGAACTTGAACTACTTGAAAAATATGTTAATAATTCATTAAGATCTTTTGTTGTTAAATTATCATCTGTTTGTTGTTTTTCCTGTTGTTGTTGTTGATCATTATTACAACAACTATTGATATTTGTTGTTGTTGAATCATTCGAATTCATTATCATTATCATCGTGATTCGTTTTAGCAAAAAATTCGCGCTCACCAAACACATGCACCAAAAAATAAACACGTGGTTTTTTTTGATTCGGTTCACCACGTTTTTCGAAGAATATTTTGAAAAAAATTTTTGCTTAAATCAATTTGATTCGATTTGAGGAAAGTGAGTCGTTATCGAAGCAAATTTGTTTTAGTTTTCTTTCTTTTTGTTGTTGTTGTCAATTTTAAAATTGTTTTTTTCTGAATCGTCGTTGTCGTCGTCGTTGTGGTCGTATTTTTTAAGAAAAATATCTTACAATTAAGCATATTGCCAATTTATTGTTGTTGTTATCGTTGTCGTCGTCGTCGTTTAATGAATGTCGTCTTTTTATTATGATGATGGCAACAACAACATCGCACACATCATCCAACCAACCACAAACAAATTTTAATCCGGGCCAAATCTTAAAATGTGTGCATATCCAAAAGAAGCAATAAAAAAAACAGAAACAGAAACGCCACCATTTGGATGAAATGCGTATTTCATGGATTTTTTTTTTCTTCCTTTTTTTTTCATTGAAATAATTGACAGTGCTGCCACATGCATGAATTGAATGAATGATACGTAAATAAATGACGTTACACACTGACTGTTCATAAAAATAATGTTCGAATTTGAAAAAAAAAATTATTTACACAAACGAAAGATTCTTCTAAGAATCAAGAATCGCATCAAGAATCTAAAAATAGAATTTTTGGTTTTTCAAAAATCTGTAGCCAAAGGTGTGGCAATATGGTGGTGTGTTCTAATTTACCAATTAAATTTTTTTTATTAACACTCAATTATCACTTTGAATTGTAAAAAAAATTCATTAAAAATTCTTATTTTATAAATCATTATTATTATTATTAATTATTAATTCATCATTATTTTGAGAAGAGAAAAAAAGAGAGCAATAAAGAATAATATGAGAGAGCAAATAGGGAGAAAAATTTTTCAATTATAGAAAAAAAAAAGAAAAGAATTTCAAGTTGATCTTCCTGCATACATCTTTCATCATTATCATGTGATATAATCATCTCCAAATGATGATAATTTGTTTTTTTTTGTTTTGATTTTTTTGAGAAAAAGAAAAGAAAATTTTGGTTGCTGATAAAATTGTTGGTGTTTTTTTTTTGCTTCATGTAAAAAAATCGAGAATTTTCTGTGTTGACAAATTTTACGGTCGGTGTTTTTTTTTTGTTTGTTTTTATTTTTTAGTTATTTGACGAAGCATTTTTTTCGGAAGGATATATTGAGTTATTGTTGTTGATTTTCTTGTTTTGTTTTATTGTTTAATATTTTCAATAATTATTGGATCTCAAATAATCACCCAATTTTTCAATAACATTATTAAGTTGTCCAGCCGGATAACCATCGACTGTTGCGGCCGCTAAAAGGCCTAAATATTCAAAAATATGGAACAAAAAAGCCGAATTAACAATTTTGAAACGAAACATTTATTTTTTTAAACAAAAACATACATGTATTGGTTGCAACGATACACAATGCTGATGAACCACGACGACCACGTACCAATTGATTATCAGCTTGAATACAAATATATTTTTCACCACCAATATGTATACCGGTTTCTAAAAATCCATTTGGATTCTGTCTAATTGTATCGGCAATTGTTTTCAATTCTTTTGGACTGATCTATTAGTTTTAAAGAAAATAAAAAACAGACAAATTTTATATTACAATTTCAAATACACAAAACAACAAAAATCATATTATCATCACTATGGTATCATTATTATATGGTCATAAATACATAGCGAAAAAAAACATGCAAAAACTTTCCATCCAAAAATCATATTATCGTTTTATTATTGTGTTTGTTGTTCATCATCATCATCATCATCATCATCATCATATATAATTGGGCGATGGCTGGTTAACATATATCTGTATATGATGTGTGTGTGAATGTATTTGTTATGTGGCTGTTTTGTTGGTTTGTCACCAAAAAAGAAAAAAAGATTCGTTACCACAGGATGCCGGTTGCAACAGCAGTTATTTTTTTCATTTTATTTAGAAGCCAGAATAAAACACAAACAAAATTCATATGAAAATCAATGATGATGATCTTTGGCCGATTAAAATCCTTTCTCGATAACACACACAGACAAAAGAAAAAAATTGACACATACCTTTTTATCATCTTTTTCAAATTTGGCCCAAATAGAACCATCTTGAATATTGGCTATAGCAGCAAGCGTACAATCAACATGTTGGCAGATTTGATTATCGACATATGATTGCCAAGACATTTTTGTTTTTGTTGAAAATTTAAAAAATTTTTATAAAATATATTATTATCAAGTTGAAACGTTTTCACTGGTTTGTTGCCGGCTTTTCGATGATAATGATGATTAGTTTGAATCAAATTTCTTAATTTTTGAAGCTAATTGGAAGAAACACAGAAAAATTAAATTAAAAATTAAATCAAAAAAAAAACGAATGAAAAAATTGGTTTCTAAATTCAAATTACTTGATTTTTCCTTGTTTCAATTCAAATACACAAACCGCGTAGATATTTGATTTGTTGATTTGATTTCCAAAAAACAAAAAAAAATTGTGCGAATGGATTAATATAAACAAACAAAGAAAAAGAGAAACACTAAGCACCCAAACAAAACGAAGAAAAAAAAGAATCACTTTTGAAATAAAATGAAAGAAAAAATTTGATTTGATTTGATGATTTTCAAAAATCGGTTCTGATCTCCAAATGTGTGATGTATGATGATATCAAGCACCGAGAGAGATATATCCAAAACAAAACAAAAAAATCAAATGAAAGAAACACAAAATGAAAAGAGTACGATGATTTTAACGTGTTTTTTTCTGGTTGAAATGAAACAAAAATATTTTGGGTTTAAAAGAAGCAACAAAAAAAACTGATGTAAAAAAGAAGAAATTTTTACTTTTTTTTTACAACAAAATGCGGCGTGTGCAAAAAGGCGTACTACCACCACCACCACCAATCGAATAGCGTTGATTTTTTTTTCTCTCTCAAAAACTAGCAGCAATGAATTTAAGGGATAAAGGGGGGAAAAAGATCAACGACGACAACGACGACAAAATGCATGTGCTTTTTTTAAAGATTTTTTTAAGAATAAAGATTTGTCTTTTGGGGGGATGAAAACGATGATAATGATGATAATGATTGAAAACTTTTCGGGGGGAAAAAAAACGCAAGATTGCAATAAATTTTTTTCGGGATTGAAATATATGGGCTTGTCACACACACACAAACACTGACTGACTGACAAAACATTCGAATATTTTTTTCTTTTTTCGAACATGATAATGATAATAGTGGTAGTGGTAGCCAGCTAGTTTCATAATCGCTTGCTTCTACCCAAGATTTTTTTTTTATGGTAACCACGTCAATAATTTTAACCGCTACCACTATAGTGATGAATAACTTTCACTTTGTGATTGAATGCATATGGTGGTTTTGATTTTTTTTTTCCTCTTCCCCTTTTCCTCCCCTTGATATTCTTTTGTTCGATTGATGATGATGATGGCGTTGTACGTCGTTACGTTATTAGCGCATCCGAACGGCGGTAATAGTCACAATTCAAAAAAAAAATCCCAATCAATGGATTCATGCGTCTGATTTATCACAAAAAAAATCCGATACAATTGTGACTTTGACTTGAATCTTATTAATGTTTTTTTTTCTGTTTTTCGGTTACTAACATTTTGGGAGAGGCTTGTCTGCAGATTTTTTTTTCGTTTTCGGGAAAAAAACCCGGGTTTTTTTCTGCTGCTGTTGTTGTTGTTGTTATTGCTCCGCATGGCAACGATCCAACAAAAAACAAACGAGCATGCAGCTGCTTGATGATTTTTCACGTTTTTTTTTGGTTTAGGAAAAATTATTGCAATCTTTTTGGTGAAAAGGGGGATGATGTTAATGAATGAATCAACCAACGGTTTTTTTTCATACCAGAAATTTTTTGTTTTCGGGATAAAGTGTTTTTGTTTGGTTTTATGTTTGTGGGTATTGCAAACATTCAATGTAAATTCAAACAATGAATCATTTTTTGAATTGGTAAAAAAAGAGTTAAAATGATAATCATTAAGGGTTAATTTTCAAAAAAAAATGATGTAATTTTTGGGGTCCCAAATTTTTTTCTGGAATGATGGATGATTCTATCGATAGAATCGATATTTTAAAATCGAAAACAATCGATTCGAATTCTGTTACCATCACCATCATTTATGGTGATGCAACCAACAAAAATGAAATTCATAACTGGTCTATGGCAATATAAAAATCTTTCAATTTCTAATGAATTTAACGCCTCAATGTCGTTATAAATCATTACAACAAAAAAATTGAAATAGAGCAAATCCGCATTATTCTGGCAATATCATTGTCATCGTCATCGAAATAAGTTTGATAAATAAGCAAATGAATTGTATACACTTAAAAATATCAACTGAATCCTCGTTTATGTTGATGTCACAATTTATTTGGCACCGATTTTTTTGTTGTTGCTTCTCTCTTGCTCTTTCCACTTAATGGCCTAATAAACAACAATAATTCAATATCAATGATTCGTTTCCTTGGGTTACCATTTTTTTTTATTTATTAAATGACGAATCTGTATAATGTTTCTGACATCATCATCATCATTATTATCATCATCAGTAAATCATATAACAAAAAAAAAGTGTCAATAAATTTGTCAATGTCAAACGCGATAAATATCAAAAGCTCAAAAATATTTGTTTGAAACAGACACCACCAAAAAAAAATCAACAAAACAAACAAGACTTGCATAATTGATTTTGATAATCAAAAAAATCAACAAATTTTTGTGCAAACAGGAAACGGATACAAATTTTTTTTTTAGATTTTTGCAATTTTGAATGATAAGGATTTTCCTTTTTTTTCTTTCATTTTCATGCAACAACGTCAACAATTTATGTCAAAAAAAAGCAAAGAAAAAAATTTTAAAAATTTTTGGTTCGCGAACAAAAAAAACATTCGAAATTCGAATTTTTTTTTAGTAAAAAAATAACAGCAACACATCATCTGGGTAGAAATAGAAATCGAACATTTCTTTCGATCGAATCGATGATTGATTCGAAATTTGAAAAATTTTTTCTTTTTTGTTTTGTTCTAATTATTAATCTAATTAGTCGGTTCATAATTATGATTTTCTCTCATTGTTTTTTTTTTGTAACGGTTTATGGGTCACATGATTTTTCTTTCAAGTCAAAATAACAGATAATTACGGAGAGAGTGCAGTTTTTTGGACCACCATCATCATCATCATCATCATTAGATTTGATTTGGAACAAAGACAAATTGAAATGAAGATTGAAGAAATTTTCGTTTTCTATTTTCGTTTTTTCAAAAACCTAACCATTTGGAACTAATTGAAAATTGACAAATTTTTTTTGTTTTGTTTGCTGGAAAAAACAACAAGGAAAAACAAAAGAAAAGGATTTTTTCCATCTGGTTAGATGAAAGCGAGAATAAGGTTAACAACAAATCAACAATTTGCCAATCAAAAAAATTGGGCAGATGTTTAATCAAACAACAATATCCATTAAATATGAAAGAAATATTTCCGGAAAATGAATGAATGAATAATGATGTGTTGATCAGATTATGGATTTCCGAGAAAGTTTCTCTCTTTAAATACAATGTTATTCTTTCAATGCACTGCTGCTGCCAGTCTGTTGTGTGTGTGGACATAGTGAGCTCACACATTCAGTAATAATACACATGCAGACTAACTAACGAAGGAAAAAAAAAACATAAACATTACAGGTTCCAAATCAAAAATAAAAAATATCTGCGACAACAAAGAAAGAAAGTTTCGAGCAAGTTTTTTATTCAAAAAATAGATAAGGTTGATGAAAATTTTATTTTTTTTCAAGAAAATTTGAGCCAAGCGAGAGAGAGAGAGAGAAGAGAAAAGAGAAATCCAATTTGTTTGTTTTGATTTTATTTTTCGAAAAAAAAATTCTGAGTAAATTAACACTGATTATCCCAACATCATTATAAATCATCCATAATCATCATTATTGATTTTTTTTGTTAATTGAAATGATTTTGTTGTTGTTGTTGTTTTGGTTACAAGGATAATTGATTGGGATTGATGAGCAACGAAAGAGAGAGAGCAAAAGTTTAATGTTCAACGTATAGGAGTTCCAAAATAATAACAACAACAACAACGAAAAAATGATGATCGATGAGCATCGTTTTTGATTTTTGACTTTTTGATTTTATTTTTTTAATTTCAACAAGCAACTTGAAAAAGACGGAATTTTTTTTTGTTCTGAAAAATCATCAGCTGATCGATCGGTGCGTTCTAATTTCTTTTTGTTCTGTGTTCGATATTCTCATTTTTTTTTAGTTTGTTTTGGTTTTTGTTGTGTCGAAATCGATATTCATCATTGCAACAACAAAGAAGATAAAACATTTCTCAACATTGCCCTTGATCTGTATCTTTTAATTCAATTTTTTTTATCAACGTCATCATCATCAAATTTCATTTTGTGTGGTTGATTTTTCAGATCAAATCATTCCTTTCAGGTCATCGACGAGTTTTGTTAGTTTTTGTTTTGTTAGTTTTTTTGTTTTGTTTTGTTTTGGTTGAAATTTCAACAGAATTCAAATGTCTCAAAATCAATTTCAATTAAAACTTAAAGGTAAGTTTTGTTTTGTTGCTCGCAAAGAATTCATTCATTTTTAAAAAAAATCTGAATTTAAAACAGTTTTACATGGCCAATTATCAACAACATCCGTATTCAAACCAAATCCATATATTGTAATATTACCGGATAATTCTTCATCATCATCATCGATATTGAAAACAAATTATCAACGATCAACAAATAATCCAACATGGAATGAAACATTTTATTTGTAAGTTTTTTTGTTTGTTGATGATTTCGTAATTCTTTTTTTTGTAATTTTTCATCCAAAGGTATATAACACCATATACAAATTTGAAATTTCGTATATTCAATCATAATTCATTGAAAAAAGATGTATTGATTGGTGAAACAACATTAGATTTATATGATATTCTTAAGAAAAATAATGGCGTTATAAATAATTTATCATTTCCATTATCATTGAAAATTCCAACATCAACATCGACATCGACAACATTGAATTTAACAAAATCAATATTATCGAATCGTGGTTCGAATTATATTTTCATTTTGATTGATGGTATATCGATCGATATGAATCAATATCCGGAAAATATTAATGGCAATCATAATCAAAATAGTGATCAAAATAGTTGCAATAATAATAATGTTGTTGATAGCTGTCAACAACCGAGTACAAGTTCAACATCGAATGTTATTGCTGAAATTACATCATCATTACCTAAATGGTCTTTGAATGATCCATTTTCATCGTCTTCTTCACAACAACAATCATCATCATCATCACAGCAAAATGGTTTAAATTCTTCAAATACCAGAACAGCTAATGGTGGAAAAAATGATTCGAAAATTGCTACAAGTCCATCAAGATCAAAATCTACATCGACAACAACAACAACAACAACAAATGATAATAATTTAATCGATCAACAGCCATCAACCTCGACATCAACAAATAATAATAATGCAAGTAATCAATCACAACAACAACAACAAAATAATCAATCAAGATCTAATACGACGCAATCATCATCAGTGGTTGAAGAACCATTACCACATGGTTGGGAAATACGTTTCGACACATACGGAAGGTATTATTATTTTTTTCTTATTTTAAAAAGTTATTTTTTTACAAAATTTTTTTTTTGTTGAAAATATATAGAAAGTATTATGTTGATCATAATACAAAATCAACAACATGGCAACGACCAACACCATTACCACCTGGTTGGGAAATGCGTAAAGATAATAAAGGTCGTATATATTATGTTGATCATAATACAAGAACAACAACATGGCAAAGACCAACACCGGAACATGTACGAAATTATCAATTATGGCAAGCACAACAAGGTTCAGTAATGCAACAATGTGGTCAAAGATTTTTATATGATCCACAATCAAATGGTGGTGGTGTTGGTGGTGGTTCATCATTCAAAGATAATGTTAATGGTCAAATGCCCACAGAATCACAAGATGAATTATTACCTGAAGGTTGGGAAAAACGTATCGATCCAAGTGGTCGTGTTTATTTTGTTAATCATAAAAATAAGGTAAGGTTTATTTTTTTTCAAAAGCTAATCTCATAAAACTTTTTTTTCAAAACATAGACAACACAATGGGAAGATCCAAGAACACAGGGAAAAGAAGCACCAAATCTAGCCGATATTCCATTACCACAAGGATGGGAAATTAAATATACACCAGAAGGAAAAGTATATTTTGTTGATCATAATACAAAAACAACAACATATCAAGATCCAAGACGTATAAATGGTCAATATGGTGTACCAATGGCATATGAACGATCATTCCGTTGGAAATTAACACAATTTCGTTATCTTTGCCTTTATAATGCATTACCAAGTCATATTAAAATTCAAGTATCACGGAATAATATATTTGAAGATTCATTTCATGCAATAATGCGTGTACCACCACATGAATTACGAAGACGTTTATTTATAACATTCAAAAGTGAAGAAGGTCTTGATTATGGTGGTATTGCACGTGAATGGTTTTTTCTTTTATCACATGAAGTACTAAATCCAATGTATTGTTTATTTGAATATGCTGGTAAAAATAATTATTCATTACAAATTAATCCGGCCAGTTCGGTTAATCCGGATCATTTACTTTATTTTGGTTTTATTGGTAGATTTATTGCAATGGTATGATTATTTTTTTCATTACATTATTTACAAATTGAAAAGATTCTAATTTTGTTTCAATTTTTAATCAGGCACTTTTTCATGGAAAATTTATTTATTCAGGATTTACATTACCATTTTATAAACGAATGTTAAGTAAAAAATTAGTAATGAAAGATATTGAATCAATTGATCCAGAATTTTATAATTCATTAAAATGGATTAAGTATGTTTTTTATTGAATCGAAAATTCAAATTCTTGTAATTCATTATTGATTTCTCTTTTTCTCACACCCGTTTTTTTATATAGAGAAAATTCAATTGAAGAATGTGGTCTGGAACTTTATTTTTCCGTTGATTTTGAAGTTTTAGGTCAAATTCAATCACATGATTTGTGTGAAGGTGGTGCCGATAGACGTGTTGATGATACAAATAAAGAAGAATATTTACGTTTAATGACTGATTGGAGATTTAGTAGAGGTAAGGATTATTTTGGTTTGCAAAAAATAAAGAATATTTTATTAAATATTTATAATTAAAAAAAAATATAGGACAAGAAGAACAAACAAAAGCCTTTTTGAATGGATTCAATGAAGTATTACCATTAGAATGGTTACATTATTTTGATGAAAGAGAATTAGAATTATTATTATGTGGTATGCAAGAAATCGATATTGATGATTGGCAAAGAAATACTATATATAGACATTATACAAGAAATTCTCGACAAATATTATGGTTTTGGCAATTTGTTCGTGAAGAATGTGATAATGAAAAAAGAGCTCGTCTTCTTCAATTTGTTACTGGTTGGTGTTGATTTGATTATTAATATTATTTTTTGATTACCAAAAAAAAATTCCCATATGAAATTTTTTTTTTTCATTATTATTCAATAGGCACCTGCCGTGTACCTGTAGGTGGATTTGCCGAATTAATGGGATCAAATGGACCACAAAGATTTTGTATTGAAAAAGTTGGCAAAGAAAATTGGCTACCACGAAGTCATACTTGTTTTAATCGTTTAGATTTACCACCATATAAATCTTATGGACAATTGGTTGAAAAATTAAATTTTGCCATCGAAGAGACTGAAGGTTTCTCACAGGAATAAATATTACAAATTGACAAATTGACAAAAATTCATTCACAAAAAAAACAACAAATTAGATAATTGTAAACATTTTGTTTGTTTGTTATTTGTTTTCTCACACAAGGTTTTAATAATTTGTTGTTGTTGAAAACATTGTTGATTTTTATTTTATTATTACACAAATTGACCACATCTAAATTTTTTCAAAAAGTACAACAATTTAATTCAATGCAAGACTGCAAAAAAATGTGATGATTATCATTTTTGTAAATAATCCAAACAAACAAAAAAAATTATTATTCACACTATTATTATTATTATTATTATGGACTGATGATTGCAATAATTAAATAAATTTTAATTTTGATTTTAGTTTTAGTTTTTAACGGGATTTTTCAATTCAAGTCTTAGACAAATGCTTGAACTGTTCAATTCAAATGCATCCGATGATGTGGAGAAAAAATCAATTTTATCGTCGATCATAAACAAATTTTCAATAGCCAATTTTATTGATTTTGTTTCGGCATTTTCGTGATCAAAATTCTGTTGTTGTTGTTGTTGATCTAAATAAATTTTCACTTTAAGTAATGTTTTCATATATTCACGTAGATTATTAAATAAAGTGATTATTGTTTCATCAAGTAGAATAATTTTTTGTTTATGATGTTCATTTTGTTTTCGAAATAAACGAAGCAAATGATCAAGGTGCACATATTGATCATTTGAATCATTATTATATAGTTTTTCATAAATATTGTTTGATTCACAGAATGGATTTTTTGGTTTCAATGATGAATCAGGAACATTATCCATAGATATTTTTTCATCCATTTGTTTCCATGTTAAACATTTCCAACATCGAGGAATTGGTTTGACTGAAACTTTAACATTTTTTACATTCTTCAATAACATATATTCTTTTTGATCTTCTTGAAATTGTTTTAATTTTTCATCCAATTGTTTGATCAATATCATTGATAAATTCGGTTCGATCTGACATTCCGATGATTTTAGATAATTTTGTACAATTTTCAATGTACTACCTAGGTGGGAAAAATTTTCCTCTAATTCAAAAAAAAACAAAAAACAGAATATTAGAATAAAGTTTTTTCTTTCGAATCATTTCTTACCTAAAATAAATTGAATACGTTGTTTCACCTTTATTTGTAATAAATTTCTTCGTACAATTTTATCCAATTTTATCATATAATCATTAATTTCATTAAATAATTTATATGAATGATTAAATCTTAATTTAAACGGAATTTGATTAAAATCCATTATTGAATGATGAAAATTTGAAAAATTGAAAAAAAAACTTTGAAAACATGAAAAAAAACACAAATCACTATATTCACTTTAACCGGTTGGTTGATTGGTTGGGTCGAAATTGACATTCGAATTTTTTTTTTTTGACGGATTTTCTTTTCCATATCAATAAGAATTCTTGGAAAATTCTTGAAAACAAAACTTGCTGAAATAAACAAAAAAAACAGGAAAAACAAAATTTGTTAATTTATTTTTATTTCTTTTTTTTGACATAGATGAATTGAATATAATGTTTGTTTATTTATTTTAATTTTGTGTGTCGAATGAAATGAATCAAGAATTCTTGAATTGGCATTTTTATACAAATATAATAAGTGTGTGAGAAACCAGAATTGGAAAAAAAGAGAGAGTTGTTACCGACGGATTTCAAATATAAATTTCATGCTGATAATGATGATGATGATGATGGTGATGATGGGTGTATGTTTGGCTCAATGGGCGGTTGTTGAATGAATGAACATCATTCTGGATTCTGGTTGAATATTTTCATTTAAATAAATAGACATTTTGTTTTGCTGTTTTGCAATAAACAATTAATGAACTTGAAATTTTTGTTTTTGTTTAGTTTAGTTTAGTTGTGATGAATAAATGTTTAATGTTGTTTTTTGAATGTAAGTTGAGAAAATTCCCATGTGTAATGTTTATATGTAAAAATTGATGATGATGGGTAAAACAAAATGAAATGATCTGGATATGAAAATCTGGTTGTTGTTTGAAATACATTTTAATTTTACTGACGTTTTTTGTTTTTGAATTTTGTAACAACAGGATAAAGAAGAAGAAGAACGAAAAAATGGGAAATAAAGAGTGAATAATACAAGTGTGTGTGAATTCTTTTCAATAAACAAAACAATCATCACCATCATTAACAAACATTCTTTATCATACTCTTTTTAAATCGTTTTTTTTAATGTGATTTAAGTAAATTTCAAAAACAAAAAAAAATTTGAACATTTTTATAACAAAGTTGAAAGAAAAAATTGGTAAAAATATTCATAATGGTGTTTTGATGTTTTGTTGAAAGATTTTATGTTCGAAAACAAAAAAAAATTGATTCGATTCTGTTTTCACTATCAGGTGAACAGGGTTAAAATAGGATCGAATGATAATGATAAATATTATTCGATCTGTGTCCGTGTGTGTTATATACGTTTTCTATGGAAAAAAATTTTGTTTTTTGTTTTTTTTTGTTGAAATCAGAAATGGAAAAATGAATTGAAATGAATGAAAGTTTCATCTTGCAAACGAATCAACAATGGGACAGATTCAATAGTTTTTGTCGTTTTCTTTGTTGTCAATGTTGTTGTTGTTGCTGTTGTTATGGAAGAAAGCAAAAGGGAAAAATTGATTGATCGATCGATCGATAAACACCTATATAGGTGATTTTTGCCGAAAATTTGTTCGATGAAGTGAAGTGAATCCTTTTTGGCACAAACGTAAGTAACGTATGAATTCGTTTGCCATCGTTAATTTGATTTAATTTAATTTGAAATAAAATGTTATGGATGACGATGAGGACAATGATGATGATGATAATAATCGATAATAATCAAAATTGGACAGGATGATGATCAAAATTCAAATATTTTTTCAAAGTTGAAAATTCAATAAAATAAAATAAATGTTCATCTTAAATCGGTAACATTTGATTTGGAACCAAATAATTTGACTAGTTGATCTTCATAATGATTAAAATTACGTTTCATAATATTCATACAAGGTCCAAGTAAACGTTCGAATGCACCAACATCCAAAACTGTAGAGAAAAATTTTGAAAATTGGAAAATTTTGGAAATTTTGAAAATCAATTTTGATTTTGTAAAATTTGAAATTTTTTTCAAACAAAAACTTACATGCCAATTTAACTTCATCAGTTGCAGCATAAACAGTTGCTGCACGTGGTTTTTTCGTGATCAATGCCAATTCACCAAAATAACCACCTTTTTCCACTCTAGATAATTCTTGTTCTTGTCCATTTTCCTTTTGATTTAGTTGGTTTTTTGGTTTTTTTTTCAAAATTTTTCAAATGAATCGAATGACGTAAATGATAGAAGAGAAAATGAGAAAAAAAAAACGAAAATTCAGTTAATGACCATCATTATCGTCATTTCATTTGATGATGAGCATCCCGAAAATAGCAACAACAAAAAAAACGGGCCAAGGTCACCATCAATTCAATATAACAAAAACTTACTTCTTTAACAATTCGGACTACACCTTCTTGTACAAAGTACATACCATCGGCTTGATCTCCCTATATAGAGAGAAAGAAATGAAGGTTTTTTTTTGTGGAGGGGAAAAACAAAAATTGTCAAATTAAAAATCAAGGTAATAAAGATGATTTGATTAAACTTTGATTTGATTTTTAGTTACCTGTTTAATAATAAGATCACCATTTTTATAGCATCTAGCCATAAATGCATCACTTAATGACATTTTTTCATAATACTTTTTTTTCATTTTTTTTTTGTTTTGGAATATTTTTGTCATTCGATAAGTCATTATTTTACCATTTTGACAGTTGATGGGTGGTTTGGGTGAAAATGGTAATGAAAAATTTTGTAAAAAAATTCGAAGGATCTTGATAATCTTACCTCCAAAAATTTAAAAATTTCAACTTTTTCAATAAATGATTCATATTCTTTACGTTTCATGAAAGCCCGTTTTAATACAATTCGTCTAAATGTTTGTCGGCTCTATTTTTTTTAAAAAAAAGAAAAGAAAAAACATTTTTGAAAAAATCTAAAAATTGAATTTTCATTTTACTATTTTGACAACCATCAACTATCTCTATCTTTGTATCACCACTGGTAGGTGTAAATAGTGTAATTTATTCGAATCAAAATCAACAAAAAATAATTTACCATTGCCCATAATGAACCAGAAGTAACAGCACGTACAGTTGCCGCTCTTGGCATATTATACATTAATGCAAGTTCACCAAAACTACCGGAACCAACATATTTTCCAACTTCTTTTTCGCTACCATCATCATTAGCAACTGTAATTGAAAATGTACCGCTACAAAAAAACAAAACAGAGAATAAAAAAGTACGAAAACAAACGTCAAATTGATTGATTGATTGAATATTGATTGATTGATCTGATCGAAAAAAAATCAATGTGCAAGCACAAAATGAATGCTACTTACTCGGCAATGACATAGAAATTATCTCCATCATCTCCTTGTTTAATTACAACTTCATTTGCTTCGACCTTTTTTTTGTCGGTTATTTTCGGGTGCAATAAATTATTGATTAAACAGAAAAAAAATGGATAATTAATTTTATCAAAAATAAAAATGTTTTTCTTCTTCGGTGCTATTTCTTTTTCAAATCGGTTTATCGATTTGAGTGAACCGAAGAAGAAAAAGAAGGGAATATCTATTTTTACTTAAATCAAAAGAAAAAAAAATTACCTTTCGTTCAAACATTGCATCGATAACTTCGTTCATTTCGGTCTTTTTTGATGTTGCAATAATGATAATGAATTGGATGTTGTTGGTGAAGGGGAAAAAGAAAAATAAATGAAAAAGTTTGAAAGTTTTTTTTGTTGCAAAGATTAATGAGAGAATTAGTAACTCAAAAGAAAAACAAGAAAAAAAAATCGCCCAACAATGTTAAAATAGAATCGAACGGAAAAAAAATATATACTTACAGGCTCAAGTGAACGAAATAGTAAAATATTTTTGATTGCTTCACTAAGACATTGTCTTTGTTCATCACTTTTTGGATAGAATATCTTTTTGGTTTTGGTTTTGGTTGGTTGTTTAATTACGAAATTAGTGCGGAAGAAAAAAAATCCATTAAAATTAAGTAAATAACTTTTTCGATCAAATCATTTATTACCTGTTCATTATCACCTTCATCTTCTTCTGGATCATAATGTTCGGCAAATACTGATTTACGTCTAGTGAATGATAATCGTGCTGGTGGTTCTGTGTGTGTGTGTATGCAAACAAACAAACAAACGAACGAGCAACAAAGATAAAATAGATCAAAAAGATAAACAAAAAACCGAAAACATACTTATTTCACTTGATGTTGAATCATTATCATCATCATTTAAATGATTACTACTATGTAATGAATGATTTGTTGTTGCTGTACTTTGTTGACTATTACGACGTTCATCTACAAGATGATTAAAATAATTTGCAGCATAATCTAATAAATCATTTGGTCGATTAACTAAAACACTAACAGTAAAATCGATTAATAAATTATTTAATTCGGTTGGTATTTCGTAATTTGGATGATTACTCATTTTTGTAATATTTTTTATAATTTTTTATAATTTTATAATTTTTATTAATTTTTATAATTTTGTAATTTGAAAATAGAAACTAATGATGCTGATGATGATATGAAGGAATTTTTCTGGACTGGAAAACAAAAATTTCCCAAAATCAGATTCTTTCAATTGATGAAAAAACAAAACAGGATGGATTTTCTTTTGATTAACTCGTCGTTTTTTGCTGATCGATTCAGTGAGATCAGATCAGTGAAGAAGAAGAAAGTAAAAGGTAAAAACACCACAATGATTACGTGGATAATGAGGATGATGCTTATCAACCAAAAAATCAACAGTCAACAATCACATTTAACGGTCACACATTAACACAAGCACACGCTGTAACAACACACACACACTGTAAAACAAACGCTAACACACCGTAATTCCGTTATGTCTTTGGCTGTTGGCTGCTTTACCTTTTGAAAAAAAAAACAACATTCATTTGATGTTGGATGATAATAGGATTTTTATGATCTGATACACAACAACGAAACAAGCGAAAGTAAAATCCTTTACTTTCACTTTTCACTTTTGCTTTTTGGTGAATGACAATATGATATGGTAACCAACACTTGTCGCAACAAACACACACACAAAGTTTTTAGATCGATAGTTTCAGATACAGATGGATGATTGAAAAAAAAATCCAATCAATCGAACGCTGTTTTTTAATTTTTTTACTGATCACTTTTCTAAAACTGGTGCTGCTGCTGGTTTTTTTTTCACTGATGATGATATCGTCGTCGTCGACAATGATGATGATGATGATGATAAAGGTTTTTTTTATTATTCCTTTGGTTGTGGATTAGTGTTAATTTTATACAGTTTTTTTTGATTGGTTGGTTGTCAGTGACAGTTATGATGATGATGATGATGATGATTAGCAAGAGTTAATATAAACTGCTACACTAAATGTATCCTTGGATGTTTTTTTGTTGTTGTTGTTGATTTGATTATCATGTTGTTGGTGCTGATATTCAATATATATAACGATGGTAACAAGGATATTTTTTTGTTGTTGTTGTTGTTGTTGGAGAAAAACAAGTTTATTATTTGATCGTCTACCACCAATCAATTGATTTTTGGATTTTTCACTGGAAAATCAAAAGTTGGACAGAAGAAAAAACTGATTGGATGAAAAATCGATTGAATCGATGATGAAATTTTTTTCGTATTGTGTTTTTTTCAGTTCATTTCCTATGAAAATCAGAAATGGAAAAAAAATTAATTTGAAATAATCGAAGGGTTAATGATTGATTTTGAGGGGGATCAATTTTTTTTTTGATTGATTGATTGAAACACCGGAAAACAATGATTGTTTGAAAGTGAAATTTTTTTTTTTGCAAACAAAAAAAACATTTCAAAACATTTTTTTGGATGACACTGTCGTGTTAAATCGAAAACACAAAAACTACCAAAAACGGTTAACACATGAAACGACCAAAAAAACCCTAAATCTTGCTGAACACAGACAAAAACAAAAAAAAACAAAAATCCAAAATACAAATATGGATCGAGATTTACATTAAATCACCGACCAAACACGAATATCATATACATTTAACACATAGAGAAAACAAACAAAACGAAAAATTTGTTGATTGATTGATTATCGTCGTCGTTGTCGTTATTTCTTTTTTTGGGAAATTGAAGACACCCGAAACAAAAAACAAAAATGATGACGGTGGTGAACAAACACAGTGGAAAAAAATGTCCAAATGATAATTGATAATGATGATGGATTTTGTTGTTTTGTTTGTTTGCTGATTTGTTTGTTTTATTTTCGTTAATTCTGGCTCGCTGATGCTATTTTCTGCCGTTGGTTGTATTCATCTACCTACCTACCTACAATATTTTCAATCGATCGATGGATAAACAAATCAATAATGACAAAACAAAACGAAACTAAAACAGAAAAACCATTTTCTCCATTTGAATAACAATTTTGGGCAACAGAAAAAAAGAAAACAAACCTTGTTCAGAATTTACAGAATAAAAGGATGTGTGTGTTGCGATCCTGAGAGAATGAGAAATTCTGAATGAAAGAATCCACCAGAGAAAGAAAGAAAGATTTGAGTTTCTGGTGAGTTTACCAAAAAAAAAACGAATTGAAACTGAGGAAAGGGGAGAGAGAGAGAGATTCCAATATTATTATTAAATATTCGCGCATCAATATTCGTGAAAGGTTTTTTGTTTTGTTTTGTAATGATGAACATCAACGACGACGACGACTACCAAAAATAACCGAAGCGAAATGATGATGAAAAACAACAGTGAAAAAAATAGACTAAATGGATGTTGGTGATGTATTTCCGAACAAAAAAAATGAAATGAAAACGAAACGACCATAAGAGAAAATATTCCACAAACACACACAACAACCAGAGATTCCAGACAAACCAGAATAAATACATATAGAATAAGAAGAAGAATGTACAGGAATATATTCAACGAAAAAAAAACCAGAAAAAAAACCGAAAGAAGAAAAACCGAAAAAACCGAAAGAAAACCAGAATCAAAATATAGCAAAAGGAAAGGATGTAGAGAATATTCTATATATACCAGAAGAATACCAGCAAAATACACCGTTTTCGTTTCGTTTCGTCTCTGTTTATTTTACTAAATCATCACTTTTTTATATAACCAACCAAGAGAGAGAGAGAGAAAAAAAAAGTCGATGTATATTCTGGTTGTCCGTGTGTTCTTCTACGTTTTTTTTCTGTTTTTGTTTTGTTTGTTCGGGACCCGAAAAAGAATATTCCCGTAAAAAGAAAATGCGGTGTCTTTGCGTGTGTGTGTTTGGTCGGTTGGTTTGGTTTGGTTTAGTTTTTTGGATCCAGCAACAGAATCAGCTATAGTCAATTTCTTTGACGACAAACAAAAAAAACGGTAAATATATTTTCTCGAGTAAAATAAAAGGATGCTGCTGATTGGATTCAATCATATGTTTTTTCATTTCGTGTTTTGTTTGTTTGTTTGTTTCTCCTTCACCTTTATCCAAGAGCGGAGAGAGACAGAGAGAGAGAGAGAGTGAATGTTCCTGTTCCAAATTCACTTTGGAAAATGAAGAAAAGGAAAAGACATGCGCAGAATCAATAAAGATAAATTCATTCTGACAAAATGAAAGCATCTTTTAATCATGTTTGGTTTTTTTTTTTGGTTCCAATATTACGGTAGTAGTAGTAGTCAACCATTCGGTTGATTCGATAAGATTTGATTTGATTTTTTTTTTGTTTCGTGTTTTCTAAAAATATTTATCTCCCGAAACGATGGTTCCTTTAACCCTCCCTCACCGAATGAAACCAAAAAAAATAAAAAAAATTACCACCACTGGACATCATCATTATTAATAATTATGTTTTCAACCAAAAAAAAAGCAAAACAGAAATGGTTGAATTTCATCCCTCTTGCATCTCTCCCTCTTCCCCCCCGGAAAAAAAGTGCTACCCACAAATTTGATTTCCAGAAAATCAAAAAATGTGAATCAATAATCGAAAACAAGGGAAACAAAACGAAATATTAAAAGTCTAAAGAAAGAAATGTATTCATCATATTACAACAATTTTGGAAAACCTTTTCTATTTTAATAAAAATAAAATATCCGATTACAAACGCATAACAAACACACAGAGGGAAAAAAAATCCAAATCACATTTTTGAAATATTGAATTTTTCAAATTTGTTTGTTTGTTTGTGTGTGTGTGGGCGGATGGGTGTTTGAAGTGTTATTGAAGTCAGAACATAATGAGATGCATAATCATTATGAACATTAAAAATTTATTTAACCTGATGATATATAGCCCGAAGAGAGAAAACTATTCATTCATCAATAATGTAGCAAAAAACAGAAATGTAGCAAAAAAAACAAAAAAAAAATGTAGCAAAACTTTTAGGTTTTTCCCCCCACTTTACATTATCTTATTAACTATTGTGTAATCTTTGGAATTTTGAAAAAACTAGAAAACAAAAAGACATTCTCCATATAGTCATCATTGATTAATGATAAAGCATAAATTTTTTTGCCGAGATAAAAATAGAAAAATTTTCGGACCGGATTTAGTTATACAATATTATGATGATGATGATGATGAAATGGCAACTTATTATTATCGTTATTTAGGGAAAAAAGAAAAGAAAATCGAAATTAAAAACAAAAACAGAAAAAAAAGGATAAAATCATCATCATCATCATTTAGGCTGGCAGCAAGCTGTTAATTTTATTTTTAATATTCTCGATTAATATTTTATGACATTGTCATCATCATCATTATTTTGTATCATTTTTGTCAGGTTTATATTACACAAACAAACACACAAGGGTAGTGAGAGAGAGAGAGAGAGAGAGAGAGAGTTTAATATTTGTCAAATACACATCATCCGTAATCGTTGTTGTCAATTTAATGGTTCCAAAAAAATGATGATAATAGTTTGAACAAACGAAAAATGAATTTTTTTTTACTCTGTTCGCTTTATATAAAATAGATATTTTTATAACTTAAAAATTCGGGTCCATAAAAAAATCCATAAAACAAAACAAAACGAAAAAAATGTAAACAAAATTCTATAATTATCATCAATATTTTATCTCGTCATATGATTCATAGTTGAGTGAGGTTAGGTTGATGACCATGACCATGACTTTGATTCATAGTTGAGTGAGGTTAGGTTGATGACTATGATTCATAGTTGAGTGAGGTTAGGTTGGGGAAAATTTTTTTTTTTTTTGTTAAATCTTACCTTTTTTTTGTATAAATGTAACAACCAAAAAAAATATGAAAATTTTTTTTCTTTTCAAATCAAATTTTTTTTTATTATCTAATAACATAAAAAAGTAAAACACTGGCTGGCTGAGACGAAACACTTTTTTCTATTTCAATGCGCATGCTCGAAAAATGGATGGCTTGCACTTTTTATTTATAAGGATCTTTTGATTTTTACATAAACAAATGGCTGGCTTGCATTGGACTTGGCCTTATGACTAAGCTAGACTTCGTCTACTTAGTAGACGAAGCCAATGGCCAATGGCTTGCAATGCTAGTTATCTCATATTGCAAACAAAACAGAACAAAACAGAATAAAAATATAAACAAATTTTTTTTAGCAGAATTCAATTGAATATTACATAATCATTATTATTATTTAACAGTAAAGAATGAAAAAGATTTGAAAAAAGATAACAGAACGAATGAATGGAAGTGAAAAAATTCAATTTTGTCTTGTCGAATTTGAGTTGACAATGATTGAAAAAAGAAAAATGATTGCAAAATTTGAAATCGATTTGAATTTCAAACAAAAAAAAAAAACAAATTCAATTTTTCCCAAAAAACATACGATTGATTTCTGTCATCTTTTATTATGTTTCGTTTCGTTTTGGGATTTTTTCATTTCCATTTTCAATTCGATTTCAATTTAAGAAACGGGGAAAAGTCCCAATCTTGTCAATTCTTATTCATTTTTACATTTACGCAAACCATAATAATGTTCGATTTTTGTTTGATTGGCAGATGATTGTATTATTGTTGTTTGATTAGTAGTGGCACTTGATGATGCGGATGATGACAAACGTTTCTTTTTATTTGATTTTTTCATTGACAAAGAAGATATATCAGATTTTTGCTGTTGTTGATGGTCATCATCATGGTCAACAGCAATTGCTGTCAATTCAATACAAACTTGTCGATTAAGACAAATATCAATATGACGATTAAGATCATCATTTGTTTGAAATAATGTATTTGATTGACAAATTGGACATTTTAGAAATTGTGGCTGTGATGGTAGTGGTGGATCTTTTTTTTCATCATTCGAATCGATTTTATCCGATAATGGTGATGATTTAACATCGACATGATGTTCACTATGATGATCATCATCTTTGTTGTTTGAATATGAATGATAACAATAATAATCATCATCACCACTATCATCACTTGATAAACCATATTGAGAATCACAATGATTACCACGACAAAATCTTTTATGAAATTCAAATTTATTTGGATTTCGAAATGTATTTTCACATAGATTACATTCATATTCACCATTTTCATTTAATTCTGCTGCATCGGAATCATCATCACCACAATGATTATCATCATCAGCGGTTGTTGATTCGTCGATTGATTTGCGTTTCGATGATTTCATTTGAATAAATTGCGTTAATGTTAATTGATCATTGGGTAACAGGATTTTTTCATTTGTTTGACATAAATTTGAAACTTTAAGACCAATTAAACGATATTTATTTGATGATTTTATCATTTCTTGCAACAATAATTCTTTACCAATTCTATATAATACTTGTTCATCATCAGTATAATGATCAATAGTTTTACATTTGATAAAAACATCGAAATTAATTTTTTTCAATTTCAATGTAATAGTTTTACAAAGTTGTTGTTCATTACGTAAATCTTTGGATAACCGTGCGGAAATATCTTTAAGCAAAAGACAAATATCATCAAAATTACCGACTTCACCTACGGTTCGTTCACGGCTATGTGATTTTTGTTGATGTTGATTATTATCATCGTTGTTACTGGATAAATGTGTTGAACCAATACCAAGATAAATTCGAAGATAATAAACAATATCATCGAATAAACACAGTAATAAAGCTCTGTTTTCAAAAATATCCGTTGGTTTTACAATATTAAATGCAGAAAGAATTTGATCTTTTACCGGACCGATTCCATTGAATTTACGTATAGGAATTTGTGATACAAATTCCATTATCTCATTACGATTTCCTTTAATCATAAATTGTCCATTTGGTTTATTAATATCTGTACAAACTTTTGCCAATAATGTATTGCACGATATACCAGCACTAATTGTTAGCTGTGTTTCTTTGAAAACTTTTGAACGTATTTCTTCAACAACCAAAGAAGTAAATTGCCAAATCTGATCGGTTAATTCATCCAAACAATAAAGTTCTTCCAATGGAATATTATTTTTTCGAGAATAATTTTCAAAAACATATCCAGTTAGATCGATATAAACTTCATCCAATGAAAATGTACGAAGATTTGGATCATATTCACGTATAACATTCATTACAGATTCACTTTCTTTTGAATAATTTTTAAAATTTGGTTTAATCAATTTTAATTGTGGACAAAGTTTTTTGGCAATAAAACCGGCCATTGCAGAACGTACCCCATAACGACGTGCAATATAATTACTTGTCGATATCATTGCCATTGAACCAACAGCCATCGGAATGTTGGCCAAACTGGGATCCTTTTTAATTTCAACAGCTGCAAAAAACATATCCATATCAAAATGTACAATAATTTTATTCAACACTCGTCGTTGTTGTTCAAGATTAACAATAATCATATCGGCTTTTTTCAATGCTTGTTGTCGTTGAAAATCCGTAATCAATGTTGATTGTTTTTTTAATTTTTTTATTTGTTCATCGATACGTTTTTGACGTCGTTGTTGAAATATATAAAATCGCGAACCTTTACTTGCTTCTTGAATAATTTGATTGATACGTTGTTGATCCAGACCATCCAAACCAGCTTTATGAACATTTAGATTGATGAATTCTGGTCCAACAACTGGATCTTTGGCGGTGGTGGTGGACATTGTTTAAAAAATCAAAAACTTTTTTCAAATTACGAGAATTTTTTTTCGAACCAATTTGTTGACAACATTCTGCGCGTCAAATTGATGTACCGCATTTATACGCTGAAAGTTTATCAGACAGAAATCAAAAATTTTTTTTGGCGCGATTGAAAAGAAACTTTGTTTTCTTTATTTTTCATTTTTTTTTATTTTCCAAAAAATGATTGGAATAACCAAAATTCGATTGATTAAAAATTGATTGATTGACCTAAATTGATTGATTAATGTAAGGTGTGTGAGTGTTTATGTAAATTTAAAAAAAAGAGCAAAAAAAAATTCCAACTAAAACAAATTGAAATCGAAAAATTTTCAATTTGTAAAATTTAAAAAAAAAGAGTTACATAAGTGACCATGAGTGAGAGAGAGAGAGAGAGAGAGAGAGAGATCAATAATTTTTTGTTTGACCAAAATTTGAAACAAAACAAACAAATTAAAAAAAACAACTGATTGAAATTTTGACGACATTCATGTTGTGTGTGATGATAAGGGGACGAACATTGTTTTGCTGACAGATATTGAAAAAGTTTATCACATTTTTTTTATGTTTTGTATAAGTACATCTTGTGTCTGGTGTGTGATTGAAATCAATGTTGAAATAAATATAATAAATGAATTCCAAATGAAAAAAAAATTGATGAAGGCGATAAATGTGAACTGAAATTATGAGCAATGAAAAACATTTTATATAAGAGGAAAAAGGTTTGGTAAAACATTATCAAGAGGATGTTTGATTCGTATTAATGGACGTTGTTGTTGTTGTTGGCGATGATGTATTATTTGCTGTGGTGGTCGTCATTGTTGCTGTAGAATTATTTAAATTCGTAGAAACAGCAGCAGCTGGTGTTGTAATCAATTGAAAATTATCATAAACTTTGGTCAAATCATTCAATTTATATTCTTCAAGTATAACAAAATCATTTAAATTATTTTGCATTTTTTGTGCACAATAAAAACAATGGACAACATGTTTACGTTCAATTTCTTTTACAAATAAAATATTAAATACTTCAATCTGGATATTTTTTGGGTTGGTTGGTTGATTGGTGAAAATAGAGAAAAGAAAAATTTGAATTTTAAATGAAAATTTTCACTGAATAAAAAAATAAAGATCATTAATAAAAACACACAAAACTTACGTCACAAACAACACAATAATGTACTGGTTCTTGTAAATCACGTTGTCTTAGTAGAATTTCATGGCCAATATCATCAATAAAATTGGCCAACATTATTGAATATTTTAATGATCGCATCAAAGTTAACCTTTTTGAAGAAATGAGAAAAAAAGTTGATTTTTTCAATGGGAAAAATCATCAAAACAAAAAACATACTTTATCATTGTAAACACAGATTTATCCGATATTTTAACATTACGTGCAATATTCCATGATAAATTAATCATCGGTACAATTGATTTATAATTTTCATGTTTATTCCATTCATAACGTTTTATGGCTAAATCATATTGTAACGAAGTGAATGGACCAACATTCCATGCAATATTATTACACCAACCGATTGCTTGTACCCAATGAACGGTTCCAGCACCAACCCAAACAATATCACCAGGTTTTTGTACAAACCTATATACTGGTACATTTTCTGCGTAAAGATCATCTAATAATGGCCACCATGATCCATGTAAATAATTAATATTATTTCTTCAAATGGAAAAAAGATAATGAAAATTAATTAAAAGAATTTGTTTGGACAAATAACAACAAAAATCAATATTTACCTTTCACAAATATGATGAATAACACCCCAATATTCTGGTGCAACACCAAACCATTCACAATCACCAGGTCCAATATTAATATTTACCGAACAGAAATTATTATTCTCTTGATGACCAGGTGTACGACAACCAGGTACTTTCATATAAAGTTGAACGGAATTCATACCAAGAATTGTATGACCAACATGTGTCAACATATTTGCTGCCGATGATACACGAGCAAATGGAGGTAGTTTAGCTAATTCTTGTAATTGAATTTTCCATTTTTTTGGATCCGAAAGATCAACATTCGTACCAAATTTAACCGGTTTAAACATACTATATTTTTTATGTTTTTTCGTATTTCTAGATTTGAAAAAAAATCAATTTTTTCCCCAATCAATAGATCAAACAAAAAAAACATACTTGCAAAATGTTGAATTCGAATCCGAATCAGAATCACGAAATATTGAATTTGTTGTTGATGAATTTTTTTCTTTATCTTCTTTCAACGATTCACTAAATGAAAGTGCCTGATAATGACCATATCGGGCAATAGTTGTATGTGATCGTTGACTTTCACAATACCAAACCATATCACGATGTTCTGGATCCCAATTTTCATCCGATGGTTGCATATATTGTCGTCGTACTTCAATATAATGATCAGAATTTGATTCAACCAATGTTTTGGTTGAAAAAAGACCTAAATCTAGTTTAAGTACTGATGATAGACCACGTATAACAGCAATATGATTCGAAAGACAAAATTGTTGAAGTTCAGGTGAAAATGCTTCTTTTTTACTTTCAACCTGATAACACAAAATTCAAATTGATTAAGAAAGTATAAAATATGATCACCACATAAAAAAACAAACAAACTTACATAGATACTAGGTGTTGGTGGATTTAATTTTTCTCTTGGTAAGGGTGGATAAGGTGGATCAGGCGGATAAGGTGGATAACCATTATCCGATGTAATACTGTTTATAATTCTAGTTGTTTTTGTTGGATATTTTTTACATTCATCAATTATCTGTTGTGCATTCATTTCAATCGATAATTTTGGCTGTCTAATGGACGGATCTTGACTAGAATCCGATGTTGTTGTTGATGATAAAATTGAAATGATAGCATCTTCTCTATTTGGTTGTTGTTGACTAGTTTGATGACAATAAATATCTTTTGAATCAATACCTGAATCATCAGATGATATTGTTTGATTTGACATAACATCACTATCAATTGAATATGAACGTTTAGATTTATTCTGAAAAAATGTAGGCGATTGTTGTTTAGATTGAGCAATTGATGATGTTGTTGTTGTTGATTGGAAAGAATTTTTTAAATTATCATAGGAAACTTGTTGTTGTTGTTGTGTATGATTATATGGAACAACACTTGGGTGATGTGGATGTGGATGATGATTATGATTTTCTAATTTAGGTCGTTTGGCAGTGTTAATTAATGGATCATTTGGATCTATTGTTGTTGATTGTGATGAAGCAATAGTAGATGTTGCATTAGTAACAAACGATTGATGCCTTTTTGATGCCATATCATTATCAACAGAATTATTCCAGGCCAATTCTAATGAAGGTAATTTCTGGGCACTACCATTTATTTATATAGGTGTGAAAGAAAGTGAAAAAACAAATTCATAAAAAAAAGAAAAAATTATAGACCAAACGAAAAAGTTAATTAAAAAAAACCATACCTAATAGACATAATATTATTATTATGTAATGATAATGATTTTAAATATTTAATACGTTCAATAACACCGATTGGTAATAATTTTGTTGTTGTTTTAGCGGTTGATTTTGTTGTTGTTGTCGATAATGATATTTTTGATTCTTTTGTTGATCTTGTTGCATGTAAATAACATTTAAATGCATCATAATATTGTTGATATGTTTCATATAATAAACCAAGATTAATCCATGCTGTTATATTATTTTTATTTAATTGAACGGAACAAATATATGCTTGTAATGCATCAAATGGTTGATTTTGTTTTTGATAAAGTATTCCAATCGAACACCATGTATTTGAATTTGCTTCAGTTTTTTCTACTGAATGTCTATATGAAATGAATGCATCATGTACCTGATTTAAACAAGCATAACATCTACCAAGATAATAATAAGCAATATATGGATCATTATCTAATTCAATTGATTCATTTAGATATTTTATTGCTTGATAATAACGTTGTTGTTGCTGTGATTGTTTCGGTTGTTGTTGCAAACTATTATCAACTAATGGCGGTAATGTATCATTTGAATAACAAATCCATCCTAATTGTCTTAAACAATCAGCACGTAATGATGATGATATAATGTTGTCTTTTTGTTTCAATAACGATAAATATTGTTCACGGGCAGTTTTAATTTTTCCTTCCAATTCATAAACATGTGCTATATGAAATTTTACTGATGAAAAAAATCGAAGAAAATTGTAAAATTTACACCAGAAAAACAAACCAAAAACAAAACTTACTTTCATTCTTTCCCAACGTACAAATATTCGAATCATTTAAAGCAATACGAAAATGCTATGGAAAAAATTGATTTTTGTTTTGAAAAAAATAAACAATAAGAAAAACAAACAAAACTTACCTTATGAGCAAGATTATAATGTTGAAAAAATTTATAAATAATTGCCAATCGTATATGTGCTTCATTCGTACGTGAAAATTGTCGATCAGTATAGATTAATTGTTTAAATGCTTTGATTGTCCTATTTAAACAACAAATAAAAAAAAAGAAGAATTTTCAAGAAAAAAATTTAAAAAAAAAATGTCGCATTTGATTAACAACACACAACAAAAGCCAAAAACCAAAAGCCAAACACACAACTTGCTCATTCACATTTGGACCTAGCTAGGCTGATTTCATTCACTCATTTTACCATTCAATTAAATCACAACCATAGTTGGGTGATTATTTTGGTAGGTCCCAATCATTCAACAAACCAGCTATAGCTTTTTAAATAAAAGACCATTTGGAACAAAGTAATAAAAGGTCCAAACGAAACGAAATAAGGGAGGGCGGTGTACCACCATCACCATTGATTGGGTCATATAATGTCGGTGTGCGCTTGTTTTCTTTCTCTCTCGTTGTGTTTGTGCATGTGTGTGAACCTTGCTTATCCAAAAATCGAGAATGAAAAAGAAAGAAAGATCCATTTGGCTCAAAAGCTAGCGTAATAAAAAAAAACTAAGCAGGGTCCTCGGTTTCATTCGACCGTAAAAAATTTGAAAATTTAAAAAAAAAATAATCAAATTTTATAGCAGTGAAAAACATTCTGTAATGACAAAACACATTAGCTATTTTGTTTTGTTCACCGACAAAATTAACAAAATTCAATATGGGTGTAACATTTTCATTTTATCGAATATCATTCTTGAATTTTTTTCAACTAATTACCTGTCTTATTTGACAAAACAAAAGCAAAAAGATTTATAACCCTAAATTCATTTGATTTGAAAAAATAGAAAATTTTCTCAAAGATTTTTACCAACAAAAAACAAAACGTGCGCGCGCGCTTCATAAAAATTCAAATCTTCAAAAAAGAAAATGATCAATTTGAGGGTTCGAGGTCAATTCTTCATTGATTGGCTATCCTCATCCTATTATTATGTAAGAATCTTGTATATATCTTACGCACAATACATACACACATACACACACACAAAGATCATTAGAGAAATTCAATACCTCCTTACAATCAAAAACAACAACAACAACAACAATATGAAAGATGGGTAGAGGCAAATAACCTCGAAGCTTTTCTTTTCTTTTCTGAAAAATATATTCCGAGCAACGACAAAGTTTTTTTTTTGCTAAAATGCACCAAAAAAACAACAAAAACAAAACAAGATTCGTCGTCCAAAATTGGAAGAAAATTCAAATTCTGAGAAAAAAAATATTGATTGAAAACTTTTTTTCACTCTTTCAAATACACACATACCTTTGATGAATTTCAAATTTTTAAATTTTTTTAAAAAACAAAATGAACACATTCGTTGGAAATATAACCAGAGAAAAACAAAAAGAGGCAGATATAATTTTCAGTTGAAAAAAGAAAGAGGTATTTTTATGTTTGACAAGAATTTTTTTGTTTTGTTTAAAAAATGGCAATGTTGATCAAAGAATCTGATGATTTGAAGAATTGACCACACACTCAACAACAACACATCAACAAAACATGGCAGTGATAAATTTCACGGAATGTTTTTTTTTCTTGTTTTGTTTTGGAAATTCTTTCATCAAATTCTGCGTCACCAGAATGTGGGGGAAAAAAAAGAATTCTTGTTTTTGAGGAATAAAAAACGAATGAGGTAATTAATCATATGATTGAACACAAGACGCACGCAAGAATATTTTAGAGAAAGAGATCAAGATTTTCCAATCCAAACAAACAAACAATAAAAAAACAAATTTGAAGAAACCAAACAAAAATCTTCAATCTTTCGTTTCCTACACAGGAATATAATTATGACGAAAACAAAGATTCTCTCACTTCAACCAACCAACCAGAAAAACCAATTGAAGAAAAAAAAATTCAAGAAAACCCGAATAAAAACACACAGAGAGAACACAGATGGTCAATCATCATCAAATGAATATAAAAGAGAAACACTATCGTCTTACGTCAGTCTTCTTCATCATATTAAATCATCGATGGTGTTGTTGTTGTTGGTGGTGGTGGTAGGTTAATATAGAGCGTTTTTTTATGAGGGTTTTTTTTTGGTGTAACAACCCAACACATTGGTGGTGGAGCGAAATTCATTGATCCCAAACAAACAAAACAACAACAAGAAAAAAAAGAATAGGATTTTTCATCGTTTTTTAGGCCAAATGTGATGATGATGAAACTAAACTAAACCAACCACATCAATGACTACTACGACAATAACAACAATGTTTTGGCCATTTAAACTTTGGATCATTATCATTATCATCATCATTATTCGATTATCANACATTCGTTGGAAATATAACCAGAGAAAAACAAAAACAAAAACAAAAAGAGGCAGATATAATTTTCAGTTGAAAAAAGAGGTATTTTTTGTTTGACAAGAATTTTTTTTTGTTTTGTTTAAAAAATGGCAATGTTGATCAAAGAATCTGATGATTTGAAAATTGACCACAACAACAAAACATATGGCAGTGATGAATTTCACGGAATGTTTTTTTTTTCTTTTGTTTTGTTTTAGAAATTCTTTCATCAAATTCTGTGTCACCAGAATTTGGGGGAAAAAAGAATTCTTGTTTTTGGGCAATTAAAAACGAATGAGGTAATCATATGATTGAACACAAGACGCACGCAAGAATATTTTAGAAAGAGATCAAAAAAGATTTTCCAATCCAAACAAACAAACAAACAATAAAAAACAAATTTGAAGAAGCCAAACGAAAATCTTCTTTCGTTTCGTTTCTTACACAGTGGAATATAATTATGACGAAAACAAAGATTCTCTCACTCTCTTCAACCAACCAACCAGAAAAACCAATTGAAGAAAAAAAATTCAAGAAAACCCGAATATAAAAACACACACAGATCGACAGAGAAAGAACACAGATGGTCAAATCATCAAATGAATATAATAAAAGAGAGTATAAAGAGAAACACTATCGTCTTACGTCAGTCAAAAAGTCTTCATATTAAATCATCAATGGTGGTGGTGGCGGTGGTGGTAGGTTAATATAGAGCGTTTTTTATGAGGGGTTTTTTTGGTGTAACAACCCAACACATTGGTGGTGGTGGAGCGAAATTCATTGATCCCAAACAAACAAAACAACAACAAACCGAGAAAAAGAATAGGATTTTTCGGTTTTTTAGGCCAAATGTGATGATGATGAAACTAAACTAAACCAACCACATCAATGACTACTACGACAATAAACAACAATGTTTTGGCCATTTAAACTTTGGATCATTATCATTATCATCATCATTATTCGATTATCAACATTCATTATATGCGGATGTCATATATATCCTATATATGTATAGATTATACCACTACCACTACCAGAATTTGTAGCGGAAGAAGATAATATCATTTTGTTTCCTGGTTTAAAAACATACCACTACTTTGATGATAACGACGGTAATTATAAATGAATAGAATGAATGAAAAAACTACCACTACCAAAGAAAACCCGAACCTTAACCAATATCAAAAAAAAAAGTAGAGATAAGGTGAAAGTTGAATGAGAATAGAGAGAAAGCCACAGAAAGATATTCCTTTCGATATATCGCGAAACAATCAAACCAAAAAAAAAGATGGATAAAGGCTAAGGATAAAGATAAAGTTCATATGATGCTGGTGGTGGTGGTGGTAGTAGATTCAAATTCACCAAAAACCATTTTCATTCATTTCATATTGCGTTCATTCACTGCATGTTTCATGCAAACATTGACAAAAGTCGATTGGTCGGTCACGTACCCCAACACACCAAAAGCCATAGAAATATAAAAGCGAAAATTAAATTTTTTTTTTTCTTCAAAAATTTAACATCGACAATAAGTGTGTGTGTGTGTGAAAAACACAGAAAAAGAGAGAAAAATTCAAGCGAATCAAATAAAAAATTTAAAGGGAACCATCATCATTCATTCATGGTTTGATTTGTCGTTTGTGTGTTCACTCAGTGTTATTTTAGGGGATTTTTTTTTTGTTGAAAAAAAATTCTTTTCGATTTTTTTTAATAGGCCGGATGTAAAAACTCATTACGATAAGAGTCAGTTTTGTTTGATCTTTGTATGGTGACACTTGGTTATTTCATTTTTTTAATGGAAAAAAAAGGATTCTCACATCTTTTAAGGACACGAGAAGAGGAAAACTTATGAATAAACAAAAAACAAAAAAAAATTTTGCTGATAAAATGTTTAACCAAAAACAACAACAACAACGAAAAAAAAGAGGTCAAAAACAACAACAAAAACAAAAAATATGAAAAAAAGGATGCAAAGAAGAAATGAGAACAGCGACAAAACTTGACAAACAAAAAAAACTTTAAAAAAATATCATAAGATCCCCCCCAATCATATGATCAATAATTGATTCGAATCATTTGATTTAGGAAGTTATTAATCAAATGATGATAAATTCCAATCCGATAATTAGAATTTATTTTTATGATTATCATTTTCCTTCCGGAAAGTCATTACATCATCTCTCTCTTTTGATTATTTCGAGTTCAATGTCATCGACTGTTACCATACTGGGCAAATTTGTAAAACTTGAAGAATTTTTTTCTTTCGTTTATAAATCTATTTATTTTAAAACAAAATTTTTAAAAATAGTAACCAAAAAATAAAGAATTTCTTTTTCTTTTCAACTTTCAACTATCCAAAATGCCTTTGACCTTTTTGTCATACATTTTGTAGTTGATGATAATCAACCACTACGACGACTATTTCGACAACTACATATCATATTTGAATTTCTAACCAAAATTTTATCATCATCAATATCGATGATGAAATAAGTAAGAAAATAACATTGTAAGGCAGCTGGGTGACTCATGTGTATCCTCAGGATTTCATCCACCGCCACTATCATCATCAACAACAATCCATCATTGTACAACAACAACCTCCCTCAACATAATCATTCTCGATTCTCACCATAAATACACAAACACACAAACTATACATCCATCCATACATGTGATGCAGATGTTTGGAAATAAATTGGAAAATTTGAAAAAAAATCATTATTTGGCCACGAGACTGGAAGGAAAAATTGAAACAATGTATCAATTTTTCTGATGATGATACTGATGATGATGATCAAAAAAAAATCAAAAGATATTATCATCATCAAAGATCAAACATCATCATCATCAATAATGATAATAGGATTCGACAAGAAAACACCAAAAAAAAAGAAAGAAAAATGTTTCAATAATGATAATAGGAAAAAATCATCGACAATCAAGTCAAGTCAAGTCAAAAAATCTTTCAAAACAAAACCTGTTTGGTAAGATTTTTCTTGGTTTCAAAAAATTTTTTTTTTTCATCTAATATTCGGGGCCTTGCCCATAAATCTTATATAACAACAACAACAACAAACGGAAGAAAACAACAACAACAACACCGGAGAGTTGATGTGAAAATAATAATGATATTCCGAGAGAGAAGAGAAAGATTCTACAGGTATCATTATATCATCATAAAGGTGAATAAGGTTTAAGGTGACCAACCGGATAATCAATGGTTATTATGGTTATTATTGACAATTCATTAAAATGAAATGAAATGAAAAACAAATGAAAATTATTATTATTAGTAAAGTAAAACAAACAGAAAAAACTGGTAAGAAATTAATTTCTGTGTTTGATATAAAAAAAATCCGGTGAGAAACCAGTGATAAGAATCCGGATTATTAGTAAATTTCATTGAGAAATTGGGGACATTTAAACAGAAAATATCACCAGCAAACAAAACAAAATGTAAATATTACACCTGTTTTCGAAGGAAATTATTATTGCAGAAAAAAAAACCAATTTGATAATGTTAGCCTTGCTATTGTTGTTGCTGGTTGTTGGTGATAAAAGAAATTGGCAATATTTTATCAAACAACAAAACAAAACAGAAGCAGCAAAATCGAAATCGGAAAAAAAAAATTCACTGATAAGATTAATTAATGAACAAGGAGGAGGAAATGTGTTAAAAGATAAAAATCAGAAAATTTTTTCAAATTCTCTGATCCTGGTAACGCCATCTAGTGCGCTGCGATCAAAATGTATTTACAAGGCGGCTATTTTTTAGCCAAGATTTCTTTTTTCAATCAAGAATTTTAAAAATTCAAAAATTTTAAAATTTAAAAGAGAAAAAAATTTCACTACTTACCAATTGAATGCATTATAATGAAAATAGGTAAGACCTAGACCGAATATTGCAGCGGAATTCTGTTTATTCAATGAAAAACGATTGAAATATGATTGAAAAAAAACAAACGAAACAAAAACTTACTTTCCAATAATTTTTATCGGTCATTAAATATCGTTGATATGCTGATAAAGCTATGTTTTTAAAGAGAAAATTTGAAAAAGTTTTGAAAATTTTATGTCGAAAAACATTGTTTACCTTTTACACGATTACCAAGCAGAAAATTATAATGTCCAAGACGACAGAAAACATTTGGATCAATTTGATTTGATTTTATAAAACAACAACGTTGATCATTATTATTATTTGTTTTCGAACCAATCAGGTTACGATTTAATAATGCTAAATCATAACATTTGATTGCCTAAATGGTTGTTTTGGGGGGGAGGGAATATTTTCCATTTAAAAAACATTTGAAAATCAACAGAATCAGAATCACAAATCAAACTTACTTTTAATAATAATGATTTTAATTTTTGACAATTTAAATCTTCGGGTTTAAAAACACCAAACAATTGGCTAAATTTAATTGATGAAAAAATCAATCAATCAATCAAAAATCATTTGACAGAATATTTACCTATCAACATTGTTTAATTCTTGCCATTCTTCAGCTGTCAACTGCATCATTTGAAATGATGATGATGATGAAGGTGATGCGGTTGATGGTTGCGATTGCGGTGGTGGTGTTTGTTGATTTTGATTCTGGCCATTATTATTTGCACTGATATTGGCCATACCGTTACCAATAACATTCGAATTATTATTGCCAAATTGTTGCGGTTGTTGTTGCTGTTGAATTGAAATTGATTGCGATGTTTGTTGATTTTGCGAATGCTGCAGATGCGAAAGCGAATGAGGATGATGATGTAATGTTGATGGCTGAAATGATTTATTTACATCTTCAACAATTGTTGTCACCATTTTTGCTGATTGATTGATTTGATCACTTTAGACAGCCAAAAACAAAACAAAAAAGCCGAAAACAAACAGAAAAAAAAATTCACGAAACAAATTTTGAAAAAAAATGAACTGAAAACAAAATTTCACAAAAATCAAAAGATCAAAATGTTTTTTTCGGATCCACACATGATCATCATCGGCATTGAAAATGTTCAATGTTTTCTTTTCTCTCAAATTCGGTAATTTGATGTTTTCTCTTTTGAATTATCATTGAATTTCTCAACCAAAACAAAAATATTGTTTACAATTTTCGTTCGTTTTCCCCCGTCTTTTTTCATTCATTCATTCATTCCATGTTGGTCGCTCTTTTTCTCTCTCTCTCTCTCTCTCTCTCTCTCTTGTATTTATTCTATGCTTATCCCTCTCCCGAATTTATATATCAAAATCACCAAACAACAACAACAACAACAACAACCACTTGTCCATTAAGATATTTTTTCTTACGTTCGAATCAAATTCATAGATAACGTTACGATTTTGTATTGTTAAATTCTTTATCAATAGATGGCATTTCATGATGATGTTTTGTTTTTTTTTCAAAACAAGAATTTTTTCGTGTTTGGAAAAAAAACAGGAATTTTTCCTCAATATTTTTCATTTCGGAATTGGAATAGAAAAAAAATGGCGCCAATTTGTTTTTTATTCTCGCAAGTTTTTTTTTGCTTACGACAGACTCAGATATTTTTGTTCAAGAATATTAATAAACAAACGCTGTCTTTTATTATTCTTTTTCGTTCGGAAAAATCTCTCGCTAGAGAGAGATAGAAAAAGACATTATCATCATCATTCGAGGTTAAAAATTGTTGATCATCATTAAAATCAAATTAAAAATAGAATCTCTGTTTGTTTGTTTGTTTCTACATTGTAACATCATGATTTTTTCTTTTTTTCTTCTCGTTTTCGCTCATCAATGAAAAAAATGAATCCATAAAACTTCTTTTCTTTCTTTTACTCGACAATCATTCTTGTTGTCGATCAAGAATCAATCCAAAAAAAAAAATTCTTTTCGAATAAAATTTTAACCAGCAAAAAAAAAAGACAGTCATTTTATTTGGCGGGAGGATGGTTATATGCCTGAAAGGAAGAATAATAAAAAAAAATTGTGCGGGGGGAGATGGAATTTTACTATTTTATTTTTCTCCTTCTTTTCACCCCCTGAAAACCGCACCCAAACTGCGCATGTCCTCAATATTTATTGCTACTACCTTTTTTTTTTTTTGGATCGTTCTTTTCGCTCTGTTGTCAACCGCAAGCAGCATAAAATAAAAGTGCTACCATCTATCGGGATAATAACAATTTGGAATGCTGCTACTTCTGCTGCTGCTCATCATTGAATCGAAAAAAATAAAATGGACGTCCATATTAAAAAAATTTCCATTAAAATCAATGCTACTACCCAAAAATCCAACTATGAGGAGGATGAATATGTGGATCATTCATAGATATTGTTTTTGGATAATATCCTCGTTGTTATAACTTTCGTTTTTTTACAATTCATGATGTGTGTGTGTTGTTATTTTTCTTCCTCATTTTTGTTGTTATTTATTTTCACTTGATTTGCGTTCGAGTTGCGTATTCGATCGAAAAACAGTGTTTCTTTTTCCAAATGTTCTGGTTTATTTTAGGTAAGTTAGTTCCATTATTATTTTTTATTATTTGTTTGATGGGTTCATTTTTCCTGGATTCGATATGAATTTTTTTTTTACTTTTTACGGCGTGTGCGTGTTCTTTCTCTCTGTGTCTGTGTATTATCTGTTATGCTAATCTAATGATGATGATGATTCCATAAATTGGTTGTTTCATCACCGAAAAATGAATGAATGAATAAATTAATATGGATCGACGACATTGATTTGATGATAATGATGGATTGTGATGGTCACTATCAAATCTCTATTAACACCAAAAAAATCAATTATGATCCATCCATATGAGTGTATATAGAATCGAATTTCGAAAAAAACAAACATTAGAAATAGAAAAAATCCTATTCATATTTTGTGTGTGTGTGAAGGAGGATATCCATTGAAAATTCGATATCTTTTGATTTGAATTTAGAAATTATTTACAATTAAACGGACAAAATAATCCAAAAATCTATTTACAAATTTTTTTGTTTTGTTTTTGGTTTTAGTGCCGCTAAAAAAATGATTTAAATAAGCAAAAAAATTAATAGTGGACAGCGCACGCTCAAGCGTCAGTCAAATGATCATCTTAAGTTGATTATTATTTTTCTTCTTCTTCCAGTTACATTCATTCATCTCTCGAACCATTATCATCAACAAAATAATAAACTTTTTTATGTAAAAGAATGTCATGCGGCCTTCGAACCTTTTCTTCATCCAAAATATTATATAAAATAAATGATTAATCTTCTGATTGATATCTGTGTAGGTAATTTTTTTCTCTGATTGATAAACATTGGACAATCTTTATCATCATAATCATCAACATAAACATCAGCAATCAATCAATCAATTCAATGCTCAATATCACTCCAAACAAAAAAACATCGAATTAATTATTCAATTATAAGGTATGTTTTTTTGTTGACATTTTTACTGTTGGATTGATATTTTTTGCTTGATCAACTTCGATGATGTTTTTGGTTGATGAACCTCGATTATCATCATCATCAAATAAAATAGCTGCGCGCGTTTTTTTCATTATTATATGAATTGGCGGGGAATTTTTCGTTTGTTTTTAATCATAACCATTTATCGGGCGCAAGGGCATTTCGACCGATAAATACTAGTCAGGCGCGGCCACTCCTCATCAGACAAAATGAAAAAAAACAAAACAAAAATGGTTAAATAGTTTTCGATATATTATATTTAGTAAATGTGAGAAACAGAAAAAAAACTTGCGCGATTCGTTTTCAGCATTTTTATCCATTCTTTTTTTATTCTTCAGATTCTATCATTCATTTTTCGCAAAACGATAATACACACAGCACAGCCTCGCGCGATTGCGTTTCAAGTCAAAAAAATAAAAAAAAATACCAGTAAACTATGTGTTGAAATATATAAAAATGCACAGGAATTATTTTCATCAATGATGAGGAGAAAAAAAAACCAGAAATCAGCCAACAATGCGACAAGCGACACCAAAACTACAAATATCATTTCATTCAAGAATTTTGTTATTCCTTAATGTGCAAAAAAAATATATTTATTTTGTGATATCTTCTAATTACTCCTTTTGATTCATATAATGAATTGAATGAAACAAGAAACCAAAAAAAAAATATCATAATAATAATTCCATCACATTGTGATAGAAAAGTTTTCCTCAAATTTTTGAATGAAATTAAATATATCTGTGTGTGTGTGTATGTGGAAATATTCCTGAAAAAATTCTACCGAAAAGAAACAATAATAAAGAATAAAGAATCCGCAACAATTATAGCGGAACCATAAATGGCTCAACAGAAACAACGGCTACAGCAACAGCTATGGTTCCAAATTATTATCGAAAAGAATATTCCAATAATGATAGTCATCGATGGTGGTGGTGGTGGTGGTAGTTGTAGTTCCAACAACAATTTTACAACAAAAAAACCACCATAATCGTAATTCCATTTATTGATGAAGAATCCATTTTTATTATATAGAATATTATATGTATGTGTGAGTATAATTTGTGAAACCAACGAATCCGAATTCCGTTTCTGATATTTAATTCTATATATTTAAATTGGATTCTGGTTTCATTCGATTCTATATACCCGATAATTGTTATTCGTTCCTAGAATATTCTATGTGTGTATGTGTGTATTTTCAATGGAGGGAGGGAAGGAGAAAAAATGGTTCGCTTTTTTTCGTTTACTTTTTTTTTTCATTCCTGAGTTCCAATATTGATTCTATATATATTGTTGATGAAGAGAGGAAGCTGGATTTACTTTTTTCGTTTTTGTTTGCCATTTCATTTTGATTGTAGGCAAAAAAATAGAAAAGAATTGAACTCTTGAAATGAATATGAATATTCTATTTTTCTATTCCCTTGGGTGAGCTTTTTTTTCGTTTGTGCTTGTGTAATGACAGAAGAGGGAGATTGTGTGAGTAGGAAAAAAAAGAGAAGAAGAATTTTGGTAAAAGAATCATCGAGACTGTGTATTTTGATGTTGAATGAGATTTTCTCTTTTTTTCATATATCCAATATCTATGGAGCAAGTGTAATTCTGATTTTGGATTCAATTTTTTTTTGTTTTTGTTGATATGATTATCATCTGAAAGTGGATTTAATCAGTTAATTAATTAATCAATGATAATTTGATTGAAGAAAAAATCCTTTTGATTTTATTGTATTGATTAAATGCTTTATGGTCAATGAAAAAATTCTTTCAAAACATCAAAATAATCATTGAAATATTTTGGAATAAAATTTTTTTGACTCGATTCTGCGACGATTCTTGTATTAAAAAAAACACCGCGATTTGATCATGTCTACATTCCATGTTGTTGTTGTTGTTTTTATTTCAAATCAACAATAATAACTATAAAAAAAATTCTTTATTATCATCAATATCAACAAAGAATCATTCTAATTTTTTAATAATTTTTTTTTCGTTATTGAAAAAACAAATTCTTATTGCCAGATTGGTCAAATATACAAACATATACAAATCAAAATAAATGAAGAATTTGATTTTATGTAATGCGCAAGATATTACATCATCGACAACAACAACAACATCATCGGTACCATTATCATTAGCTACAGCAACGGTAACCGGTACAATAGCTACAATAACAACAAACGGAAATACAAATTTAAATTTAATAAGTATCAACGATACAAATAATAATCCAACAATAATAACAACACCAACAACCATAACGGTTGCTGAAACATCAACAGTGGCGGCCAATACTGTACCAACAATATTATCTAAACAACCATTAGGTACAAAGAAAAGAAGACTGATGAAGAATAAACAGCAACAGCAGCAGCAGCAACAACAACAACAGCAACAAGAATCATTAAATCATTCGGATGGTGCTGGTACTGGTGTTGGTGGTGGTAATGCTAATCAATCTGGTGAAATTGATGATCTAAGTGATGGATCATCATCAATTGAAAGTGACGATTTTGATGATAGCGATTTATTATCGGGTACAGCAAATGATGAAATAACAGCTCAATTAGCAGCTGCTGGTCAGTTAATATATTTTGTTTTTTGTTTTCGATAAAATAATTTCAAATAATTTTTTTTCTTTAGGTCCGGTTGGTATAGCTGCAGCTGCAGCAATTGCAACAGCAAAAAAACGTAAACGACCACATACATTCGAAACTAATCCTTCGATTAGAAAAAGACAACAGACTAGATTATTAAGGTAAGATTATTTTCTATTGCATTTCTTAAATTAAAAAAAAAATCATTCAATTTAAATAGAAAATTAAGGCAAACAATTGATGAATATACAACCCGTGTTGGTCAACAGGCAGTCATTTTAATAGTCACACCAGGAAAACCTCAAAATAATTTCAAATGTTTTGGTGCACGTCCATTAGAAAGTGTGGTATGTATAAAAAAAAATTTAATTTTGAAAAGAAATTTTCATTTAGTTGTATTCTTTTTTTGTTTTTTGTTTTTTGAAAGATTCGACAATGTCGTTCAATGGTTATGCAAGAATTAGAAACAGCATTAGCTCATCATGCACCACCACAAGTCAAAGAAGATCCATCATTACATGAATTGCCCCCTCTAGTCGTTGATGGTATTCCTACACCAGTTGAAAAAATGACCCAAGCCCAATTGAGAGCTTTCATACCTTTGATGTTGAAATATTCAACGGGCCGAGGTAAACCTGGTTGGGGAAAAGATTCTACACGGCCACCTTGGTGGCCACAAGATCTCCCTTGGGCTAATGTTCGTTCGGATGCCCGAAATGATGAAGAAAAACAAAAAGTATTTTTTTTTTCAATTATCTGATAAGCTTCTTATTTCTAATAATAATATTCTTAATAAATTATTCAGGTATCATGGACACATGCTCTAAGACAGATTGTCATTAATTGTTACAAATATCATTGCCGTGAAGATCTATTGCCAGCATTCAGTGAAGATGATGAAAAGAATACCGGTACTGCCGGAACTAGTTCATCACAAACAAAAGAGAAGGTGAAAATTCGTAATACAACAACATCTACGGTGACCACAACATCAACACAACAGCATCAACAGCAACAGCAGCATCATAGTAACATAAATATGGCTAATATAGCTAATGCAAACATCACAACAGTACCGATTACAGCAGATTCAGCCAGTTTAGCTTCACAGGGCATAAACGTATGTCGTAGATTGTTGATTGAATCGTTATTTGAATCGCTGATCAAAATTCAAAAAACAAAAAACGATTACAATCCATATATAGTTTATTTAGTTGAATTTTTTAGTTTGCATTTTGATATTTTTTTTTCTTATTTTTATTATTTGAAACTTTTATTATTATTTGGAATGAATTTTTGTTTAAGTTTGCTTAATGCTGTTATGATGTTTTTGGTTGCTCTGATTTTTTTTAAAATAATTTTGAATGATCATTTTATTTGCAAATTACAATTGAATTAATTTCTTTTCTTTTTTGTTTGAAATTAATAGACATTATATGCACAGCCTATTGCAACACATTATACACCTATGGTTCAAACGATAAATAATCCGGATGGAACTGTTTCGATTATACAAATGGATCCAGCAACAGTAGTTGCCATTTCCGATGGTAATGGTGGTGTTCGAACACTTGGTCAGCTTAGGGTATGAGTTTTTTTCTGTTGGTTTTTTTTTGATTAATTCACCATAATGTTTTGTTTTTTAGTTTAATACGACTGGTGCAGATGGCAATCAAGGTGTACAAACATTGGCCGAATTAGCTACTGGCCAAGATCATGAACGTGTTGCACAATTAGGTACTGTTGATTTAGGTGGTGAAGGTACAACACAAGCTGTATCATTGGCCGAAGCAACCATTAGTCCTGATGGTCAAATTATTTTGACCGGTGAAGATGGTACACAAAGTAGTAAGTGTTGATGAATTTTTTTATCTTTAATTGATTAATTTGATATTTTTTTTTGTTCTTTTAAAAAAAACTAGCTTTCCCAATGTCTGGAATGGTTACAATACCTGTATCAATGTATCAAACAGTTGTTACAAATCTAAATTTACAAGGCGATAATAGTATACCGATAACAATGTCGGCAATAACTGGTACAAATCAATTAGAAGCCGGTAATGATGAAAATGATGATGTTAAAGCTGTTTTGAATGGCCAAAATGCAATCCGTATTACAACAGCTACAAATGAAGGAAATAGCTAAGCTAAATATTTGATTATTTGATTTTTTTTTCTGTTCTTTGGTTCGTTTCGTTCCAATCATCATCATCATCAATATTATCATCTTATTTTGAAATGAAATCAATCTATATTTAATTAATTCATAATTTTGAAGCATACAACAAAATCAACAACAACAAAATAGACACAAACACACACAGAGACCTCAATTGAAATTTATTGAAAAAAAAACATCGTACATATACAAAACATATATAAACATCATCATCATCATCATCAATATTAATTACAATAATAACAAATTCACAATATTAACTATTTCTCAAAATCCATATGATTAACATTTTTTTCATTATTATTATTATTATTATTCATTGATTTTCATAGAAAATTTTTTTTTTCACCTCATCACCTCATCGAAGAATTCATATTTGTTTGTTTTTTCCTAATTATTATTATTTTTTCATTTCAATTTTTTTTCTCTTTTTGCTACCAAACATCCACACGTTCATCTGTTTTGTAAATCATCATCATCATTGCCATTCAAATACAAAAAAAAAATCCGCTTCCTCCCTTATATTCTCTCTCTCCTCAAATTCTCCATCATCATAATAATAATCTATATTTTCCATCATTGGATTTTTTCTCCCCTCTCCCTCTCTCTCTCTCTCTCTCTCTCCTGTGTCATTTTGATTGACAGTTTTCATCATTGACAGTTTTTTTCACGGAAATTCATTTCACACATCCAAAAAAAACACTTACCATACACACATATATTTCCAATCATTAAATATTGTAAATTTTCTTTTTCTTTTTTTGTTTCGTTTCGTTTGTTTTCTCTCCTCAAATTCAATTATTTTTCAATTATAATTTGATTTATTTTTTGTGTGTGCGTTTGAATTTGCTGTTCTTGGTGTTTTGTTTTGTCAAATTTTTTTCCCTTTTATCACACAAGTTTTATATTCCATAATTGATGCCAAAATTCTCCTGATTTCCGATGAAATATATCTCTCAAAACAAACAATGGCCGTTGCAATCGAATTTCTTGATTGAGTTTTTGAACACAAATCATATCCATTCATATTCATAATCTTTTATTCAATCAACAAGATTACACATGATTCTGAAACAAAAACTAAAATAATCCAATCTTTTTTTCCCATCTAATTTTTTTTTTTGTAAATTAAAATTATTTTGTTTCCATTGACAATTTCTCTTTTGAATTCCATTAGAATCGCGATTTTTTCTCCCGCCAAAAAATGTGGAATGTGCGCAAATTGTTTCGGGGTAACACACGTGCGTGACATGAAAACAAATCGATATCGATGATATGATGAAACTTGTGAAAAAATTGTTTGTTTTTCTGTGCACACATATCGTTGCGCATGTATGCATTCACGTTCAATGACCAATTGGTGTTCATTTTTGTTTTTAGGGTTTTTTTTTCTGCTGATGATCGTCATTTTTGGCTATAAATACGAAAGGATTTTTCACTGCAGTGAAATACATTTACTCGTTTTGGTTAATTCGTTCGATTTGTCATTCGAGAATGGTATGGATTTGATGATGAAGAAAATTTTTGGCGACCATTTTGGTAGACTTTTTTTTGGTTATTTAATTGCATCACGTCGCTATTGTGGCCATTAAAATTGATGTAATTATCATCCGCCAATGTTTTGCCAGTTGTAATGTGGTTTAAATTTTTTTCATCTGATTTTCCATTTCAACCTAACCTTTTTTTGTGTGTGTGTGAGTGTTGTTGGTTGTGATTGATCAATTATCGTTTTCTTTAGTCAGTTTCGATAATTATCAAATTCGTTTTCTCGGGTGAGTATTGAAAAAAAACTGGCTACAACCATTTTTTCGAATAACAAATCTTATGATTTTTTCATCAAAACGAGTAAATTTGATGATGAAACAAAATCAAATTCACATCAAAACAGTAAAATTTGTCATAAATTGATGGTGTTTTGACGGTTTTTTTCCTGCGGGAAAAAAACCAAACATTCGATTCGCCATCGATATTCATGACATACATTATTAGCGTTCGAAATTCCGAATAAAGGGTAAAAAACTTTCTTTTTATTTTACAGAATTTTCTTTCACTTTTTTGTTCTAGCTATTTATATATAACGAATTTTGAATAAAAAAAAACATTTTTCTTTTTTAAAAAAATAATCAATTATCACGTGTTTTGTACGTATGTTTTTTGTTTTTCGCTCGCTTTTTCATTTTTTATTATTCGAAGCTGCCAAACTTGTTACAATTTCATCGATAAACATTGCCGATACTCCGGGAAATGATTGTTCAGCCGTTTCGAATGCCTGACGAAGATTATCAATCATATTAATATTGATATTCGATTCACCTAAATTATCACGTGGATTTTCTCTTTTCTTTAGCTAAAAAAAAAGAAAAAGAATAATATTGATTAGTAAAAACATCTTCAATAATCAATTCAATTACAAACCTCATTTAGGATGGCAAATATTGTATTTTGGGAATGAATTTTATGATTCAATTGTTGTTGTTGTTGATGATGATTATGATTATGATTAACCATCATCGATGATGATGATGATGATTGTTCACATTGTTTATTCGTTGTCGATGATAATGGCTGACTAATTTGATTAATGTTGTTCGTATTGTTATTATTCGAATGTATTTCATGATTATTATTATTAATACTTCGAGGACCATAATTCTTTGATGGTGATGATGAATGTTTTGAAGATAATTGTGACTGTTGTTGATGATGATTTATATTTCTAATTTCATCACTAACAAAATGTTTTTTATCATTGATTGAATTTTCAATTACATTATTCGTTATGTTGTTATTTGAAGAAGATCGATTATGTAATGGTGATTGTTGTTGTTGTTGTTGCTGTAAAATTTCTTTTTTATTAATTTTATTATTATGAGAATTTTCCTGTTTATTTGATGATGATAATTTTGATTCTTTTGATGGTGGTGATTTTACAACATTAACCACAGGTTTCTAAAGACGTAGAAAATCGATTAAAATTCAATCTGTAATAATGAATGAATATTTACCTTGGATGGTTTTACAACAGATTCGACTATAATATCATTTGTAATTTCATTATTACTATTAATATTATTATTATTGCCCGTTACTGTTGTTCTATTATCACTGTCCGAATTATCATTTGTAATATTATTTTCATGATTATTATTATTATTATTTTCTAATGATAATTGTTCCATTTCTTTTAATAATGGTTTTTTATTCAATTTATTTGGATTTTGTTTGATTGTCAGATCCCATGTTAATGTATCAACCGTTGATTTACCTTTTCCATCATCACTATTAATCAGGAATTGGAATTAGTGATTTTTAAAGATTTTTTTTCAATTTTAAAACTTACGAATCAGATGCATCCGAATCACTATCACTTTTACCACCACCTTGTGCTTTATAACGTTTATATCTTTCAATCAAATCGATTAGGAATGAATTTTTTTTCGCTTTACGTATGAATGGAAATTTTAGCAATTCTTTTGCCGATGGTCTCTGTAATGAAATGAAATGAAGAAATTTGAATTTTTAAAAAAATGACACAATCAATCAAATTATCACCAACATTTTCCGGATCTTTGTTAAGACAAGCTTCAACAAATTCTTTAAATTGTTTACTATAATTTCCAGTCAATTGTGGTGGATTATTTTTCGGTATTAAAAATAATACTCTCATTGGATGTAGATCAGAATTTGGTGGTTCACCTTTAGCCAATTCAATTGCAGTGATTCCCAATGACCAGATATCAGCTTTTGAATCATAAGCAGATTGTTTAATAACTTCAGGTGCCATCCAAAATGGTGTACCAACAAATGTACTACGTTTACTTGTTGTATTGGTTAGTTGACCGGCAACACCAAAATCAGCTAGTTTTACTTCACCCATTTCTGATAATAATACATTAGCTGCTTTAATATCACGATGTAGTTTACGTTCTGAATGTAGATAATCAAGTCCTTTAAGTACTTCACGTAATATAACAGCAATATGCATTTCATCAAATTGTCCAGCTTTCATTAGATCTAGCGCTGAACCACCACCCAAATATTCCATAATAATCCATAATTTTGTTCCCTAAAATGAAAAATTTTGAAAAAAGATCACAGTAGTCATTTTATTACCTTTAAATATGATCCATAATATTTGGTTACAAATGAACTATCACATTGTGATAAAACCATAATTTCTTGTTGAATATCTTCAATTTCATCTTCAGCTTCTTCAAGATCAATAATTTTTATTGCAACAACTTGTTGTGTACGATTATCGATACCTTTAAATACTTCACCGAATGAACCTTTACCGATACGTTCTTGTTTGGTGAAAATTAATTCTGGATCCTAGAAATTTACGAAACAAAAAAAACAACATTAAAATCCAGAATTAAACGAACAAAACTCACCTCGTTACAGGCCATTTTAACAATAATGGGAAAAAAATGTTTGATTCACAACACACAAAAAAAAGAAAGAATGTTGAGTGCAAAAACAAACAAACAATAACAAAAACAAGTGATAAATCTGAGCAGATTTTCAAATGGCAAATTCTTTATCTTCTTTTCATTTACAAAACAAAACAAAAACAAACAAAAAGGTCATCATCTTGGATAACAAAAAATCGAATGCTTTTGATGATGATGGTGGTGGCACTGATGTAATTATTTGATGTTGGCGGATGAAAAATGCGAAATGGAAACAAAAATTAGATCAATTTTTTTTTTGTTTCTCTACCGATTGTGATGATAATTTAGTTTTTCTCTCATTAATGATGATGGCAGTCAATATTAATTGCTGACGATGATACTGTTGATGATACTAATCATCATCATTACCAGGTAATTGATGATTTAAAACCTGAACCCGTAGGTTACCTTAGAAACAATGTAATTTTACAACTTTTTTTGGTGTAATTTTTGTTTGTGTGTAATATTTTTTGGGAATGAAAAACTACAAAAAATAAATCGAAAGTGGCAAAACAAAGTGATCATCAATAATATTCGATGCCGGTATAAAACAAACAAGCACACCAAAAATCAAAAATCACTGATTTTTATCTTAATTTTTTCACAAATTTTTCCTTGTTTGTTGTTGTTAATTTCACAATAAATTATCATATTTGTTTGGACAAATTATATAGAAACTTTTTGTTTTGTTTTTGTTTTTTTTGGTCACAAACAAACACACACACAAAGGTTGAGTATGCGCGTGTTAACACAAAAACATCATCATCATCAATGTTTTTTTTTTGCATTCGAATTTAGTTCATTCGAATGATTCGAAAATGAGCAAATCTAATCAATGGTTTTTCTTCTTGTGGTTTTTTCTTTTGAAAAAAAATCAACGATAATGATGATTACAATGCGGGTGATTTCATTTCTGGTTGATTACAAAACTTTTTCAAACATTGTTTTTTTTCCCGAAAAATCAAATTACAAGTGTTTAATCCGATTGATTGATTGATTGATTGATGGATACACTTATTATTCAATGATGAACGACTACGACGACGACCACCAGTTGATTATTATTCTAAAATAATCCATTAATTTGTTAAAACACGACCACGACAACATTCTTTCCGACCAAATAGAGTAAAAAAATATACAACACTTTAAACCCCCTTTCTATTTCTTCTTCTTCTATGGCTGCTCACTATCATCGTTGTTCAAAAAAAAGCGAGAGAGAATATTATTATGACGATAAAAGATGCTCAATATGAAGAGTTCAATGTTCATTCAATGTTTTTCGTTGTCGTTGTTATTGGCTACAAACACTCACTTATCACCATACCACATTCATATCAAATAAAAAAACTGGACACAACAAAATAGGGCGACCCCGATCTCGATCTCAACGAAAACAGAAAAAAATCATGTATCTTTTTTTCGTTAAAAAGTCTATGGCATAGACTCTATGCTATTCCCACACACCAACCAACCAACCAAAGATATTCTCTTTTCTCGGTTTTATCTTAATCAACTCGAAATGGAGAGAAAAAGATTTTTTTTTAAATGGATATGTAAGGCGTCTATGATTAATCCAAAAATCCTGTGTTATATTGCCAAATTTATTATACTTTTTTTTTTGATTTATAAAAGAGAGTAAAAACAACCAATGATAAAATCAAAAGAGAAATAGAAATCAAAAAAAAAATTACAAGCTTGTTTGAATGGATTTTTTATTTATAAAATTTTGGGTTTTTAAAAAATAATAATATTTTATTATTCAAGATTCTGTTGATTAATTAATAATAAGAATTATTACAAATTAGCAAAAAAGTAAGGTAAAGCATTCAATTTGTTTTGTTTATCATACAACAGGTGAATTCATTCAATCATTGTAATGTCAATGGATATTGTAATGTATTCATTATTTCTCTAATGGCCGAATAAAGTATACATTCAACATTATTTTGAGCTAATTTGAATTAGAAAAATTAGAAAAGATTATTACTTCTTCAAGAGATTATTCAAGTTATTTAAAACAACTTACCACCATATTCATTACATCTTTTCAATATTTTCTGTACAAATTGTATTAGATTTTGATTCTGTGATCTTTCATATAAAAGATTATTCATTAATGTTAATGTATTAATAGATGTTTCATAGATTAATGGTAAAAATAATATAAATGGTTGTATAACAGCTGCAACATTATTTGCCATCATTTGTCCTTGTATTGGATTTTTATGAGTCAATTGAATCTGGTGATAATAAAATTAAGTAAAAAAAGAAAGTTGGAAATCAAGACAAAATAATTAACCCTTTTTTAGTGATAACTTACAAATATAATAATTTTTGTTTTTAATATTGAAAATGCCGACATTCCAATGCTAACCGAATTGATAGAGCCAAACGGTGGAAATGTTAGACTAATTTTTGCCGTCCATTTTAATGTTGGATCAGGATGCTTGAAGAAAAAAAGTAGAACAAAAAAAAATGAACAAATTCAATATATTGCAAATTGATTATCAAATTATCAATAGAAACACTTACAAGTTCTAATCGCATTATACGGATTAAATCTTTTAAAACTCTCATTGGTACATTAAAAAAACGAGCAAATGCATTAAATGAATTTGGTTTGAATGGTGCACAGGCAATCTGATTATTATTATTATTATTATTTTTTGAATTACAAAAACAACAACAAAATTATTAAAGGATAAATAAAAAACATAACAACGCAAACAAACTAACCTTGGTTTCAAAATATTGTTGAATAATATCCAATTCTTCACGATTCCATTGATTCATTTCGGAAATTGATTTTACATACATATGAATCTAAAACAAGAAAGATCAAATTAAGAAAAATTATTAGGAAATATTCCACAATACACACATACCGATAATGTATTAAAATCCATCCATATTTTAAATTGTAATGTATCATTTTTAAACATAATTGTACCCGGTTCCATTGTTTGTATAATAGTAAAATTTTCTTCAATTGGTTTGCTAAAATGTCTTCGCATAAATGTTGAACCAAGAAATCGTTCCAATTGTGAATATGAATAATAAATATTTGATGCTGATTGACCAACACCACTGCCATTATCATTACCGGATCTACACATCATTTCTAAACCTTGATGTGTTAACATTGTTGGTAATGCTGCTGCCCATGGTTTTTGTGGTAATGTACGTGATTGTATCTGTTGTGTCTGGTATTGTTGCTGTTGTTGTTGTTGTTGAGTGTTTATTAAACTAGTACCAACAGGACTTTGTGTTGATGATACAGTTTGTGCTGGTCTTGGTGATGGTCTTGATGAAATCGATGGACTTGCAGGCCATAAATTTGGTACTGGTGATGCTATCGATTGTTGTGCAGCATTGTTCAATGATGAACCAGGAATATTTGGCTGATTAAATGGTGATCCTATTCCACCACCACCGCTTTCATGACTTCCAGGATTTGTTTGTGATATAAATTGTGATGGTGCTGGTGATTGTGTATTCAAAAAATTTCCCACAGGTCCAGGTGATGGTGTTGGTAAAAATGATGATGGTGATGGTGTTGCTAGATTTGTATTCATTGGCGAATTTATATTAAAAACACTTGCAGGTGATTGTTCCATTTGTGGCATTTGTGGTGATGGTGCCATTGGATTGGCTTGTTGTGGTTGTTGCTGCTGCTGTAAACCAGGATGTGATGGCGGTGATGATAATGAAAAATTTCCCGGCGAAGGTGCATAATTTGAATGAACACTTAGTACTGATGCTAATGGTGATGCTGGTGTATGTGGACTTGAATGTAATGGTAAAACTGAACTACGATTCGTTAGATTTGGTTCATTAATCGGTGGTGGTTGTTGTTGTTGTTGCTGTTGAATATTTGAATTTGGTTTCATTTGCGTTCCGGTAAACATATAATTATCATTTGAAACAGGATAATCAATTTGAGCAATTGGTGATGGTGGATTATCATCTTCAGTTTGTGATAATCGTCGTGTTTGAATTGTTTTATCAATAAATTTACTTAGAAATGCTTTTAAACCTTGTATTGGTTTAAAATCACTAATAACTTTTGAATTATCAAAATTACTTAATGCACCATCACGTATTGAAACTAAATTATCTGCATACATTACTATATCCAGACAGTATCTATGGATGAAAAACAAAATTCAAATGATCATCATCATCATTAAGCCCGAAAAAAAAAATAATGCAAAACACTTACGTATTACGATAGATTAATTTAATATGAGTAGAAGATTCGGGTAATACACAAAACGACAGTACAGGCCAACGTGGTCTCTGGAATTTCCAAAAAAAATGTTCAAAAATGAATGAGAAACAAGGAATTTTTTAATTTTTTCATTAAAAACAGAAAAATACATACCGAATTAACTGTACCTAATAATGGAATCGATTTAAGATTCTGTACAGTTAATAATGGATTTAATGTATAATTTAATACATGTATTAATTGTACAATTGATAAATGTTGATTAAATTCATGTTGTAATTGTGTTGATATTATTATATGTGGATTTGTATTTGAATATGATTGCTGTAAAACACCAAATGATAATTGAAAACGTTTTTCCGAAAATTTATAATAAATTGATACCTTTCGATGGAAAAAAAGAATCAAATTAATTAAAAGGGTTAAAAGAATTTTTAAAAAAACTTACGAAAAAAGATTTATTCGGACCATAACCAATGGAAATTTTTTTATAACTAAATGATTTAATTTCAATCGATGATAAATTTATTATGGATGAATAATGTTTAATTTCTTGGGAAAATTTTTCCACTACATCATACAGTCGTGCAATTGCTGTCCAATCATTTAATAATTCATCAACCATACGTACAATAACCGATTGTGATAATATTGTATAATCATAAGAATTATTAACAATTTTTCGTAAACAATGTTCTTTAACCGGTAAATTTTGTATTGGTGGTGTTGCAAATGATATTATAACATTCCAAACTCTTGAACTTTTACCATGTAAACGAATTGTACAGCTTAATGTATTCGAAAGAATTTTTTCAGTTAATTCTTGTGGACACCATGAACATGATGGAAATTTTATTATATCAATATAATGTGTACAACCATTTGGATCCGGTACAATTTGATGATAAATATTACGTTTATATAATTCTTGTGATAAACAAGTATAGGAAAGTTTTTCATCACAAAAACTTACAATATGTGCCAGCTCGGTAATATAATAACCGGGTAACTTTTTTCGTTTTATCGATTGTAAATTAATCATAGTATTTGTTGATGATTTACGTTTACGTCCAATATTCAATTCTTGATCATTATTATAATTACTACTACTGCCATAATAATAATTTTGTAATATATTTGATGAATCCAACGGGAGAATTTTTAAAATTTCAATAAAATGTTTTGGACATTCTTGTTGATCAAATTGATCTATTTGATTTGATTTTTGCTGTTGTTGTTGTTGTTGATCTTGAATGGAAATATTATTCAAATGAAGCAGATAATAATCCATCCAAATATTAATATTTGAATTTTGATCATTATCAAAATTTATCATTAAACATTTATCCTGATGACGTGTGAAAATAAAATATAATTTATTACCATGGATATTTTGTAAATCATCATTTGAATAATTTAATGGAAATGGTAATGATTCAATAATACGAACAGGTAATGCTTCAACAGTTTTTTTACAACGTTCCCTAGTTATCCATACTTTTAATTTATCAAACATTGTCAGAATACGATCAAAATTTTTATTCAAATTTGATTCAAAATCCATGATTAATGGACAATCTTCATATTGTGGTATATGTACTAAAAATTGTCCAGTCAGCATATCAATTGATATAAGTAATTGTTCGGATGGCATACATGGTTGTATGAATGATATATGCAGTACGGCTGGTAGTTCATTTAATTCACAAATTAATGATAATGAATTTTTTTCTTCAATAAATTTTTTCAAATCAATCAATTTCAATTTGGATCTTTCATGCGTTGTGAATAATAAAATTTTTTCAATCGATAAAATATTTGCCTGTATTGATTTAAGAAATATTGTTGAATCAAAAAATTCTGGATTATGTTGTATTTGTAATGGTTTTGTAGGATCGGTTGAATCAATTTTTATAATCAATTTATATGATGATGATGATGATTTATCTTGTTGTTGTTGATTATCTTTCCAATATGATAAAATTAAATGTTTACCCGAATGATATTCATCAATATGAATAAATTCTTTTAAACGTTTATAAACAGAATCAGATTGAAATGCTAAAACTTGTAATTGTAAACCAAGACAAAATGTATGCAGAATATTATATGCTTCAACTAATGGTCGTTGATTATCATTCAAACGTGTTTGAATGATAATACGAATAAAATTCAGTTGTTCTTGTTGAACCAGGTCTTTTATATCATTAATTTCTTTATCTTCAATCAGAATTTCAATATTCAATACTTTCCATGGCATATTATTATTATCACTTAATAATGTAAGGGTTAAACTGAATTCATTTGAAACGGTAAATGTTACCCTTCCAAATTCAATTTTAATATTACGCATTTGTAATGGTAATTCAGATGCAACTAATCTTTGTTGTATAATATGATTCAATTGAAAAAGTGCTGCACGTTTTTCGGCATTTGAAATCGGATCCGGTGGTACTAAACGATCACGTATAATGTTTGGCAGACGAGAATAAGTACCTAATGTTAATACTTCAACTGCGGCCAGTAATTGAAATGCAGGTAACCGTGCTGAAACTAATGTTTCACGTGATAATCGTGCCAATATATCAGCCGTTTCAGTAAATAACATTGATTGTTTATCCAAAAACGAAACGATTTGTGAACATTTTTCAACTTTTGATGCACTACCTGCCCATTTAACTAATGCTAATAATCGTACAAATAATTGTCGATTACGATTTGCAAATAACATTATTTCAATTTTACGTTCCATATCGGTTTTTCTTGGTAACAATTCGGCCAACAATGATAAATCACGAAATGTTTTTTTAATTGCCAATTCAAGTAGATTACCAATCGAAACCATTGGTGTTGAAACCATTTGGCCATTGGTTGTATTAACCTGTGACATTGGTATTAATTGTGATGATTGTTGATTGGCAATTGTGATTGCCATTTTAGATGATTTTTTTCAGTCGTCAAAATGATGAACTGAATGCCGGTATCAATCAATCAGAAAAACAAAACAAAACAAATTCCGTGAAACAAACAAACGAGAAAAACATGACAAGAAAAACAAATTGATGAATTTACAGAATGCATCGATCCGAGTCATTTTATACTCATGTTCGAATGCCAAGTTTATACTCGGCAAGTTTCAATTCGAATAGAAACGAAAAATTTTCATCAAAAATTTTTTCATTTTTGTTTTTTTTTGTTTTGTTTTTCAAAATTTATTTTCAAAATCCAACAATTGAATAGATGATTTTCCCAAAGTAAAATAATGATGATGATGAAAATTACAAAAAAAAAATCGAGTAAGTAAGCAAGCAAAAATCTTTCTCAGTTTCAATAACAATCGATAAAATTTTTTGATGAATTTTGTTTTCTTTTTTTGTTTTGTTTAGAGAATTTTAAAAATATGAAATGAAAAATTGCGATGAAAAGTCGAAAATAATGTTTTTTGCATGTAAGTGTGAAAAACAAGATAAGAATAAGATCCGTTCGTTTTGTGTAATAAGCATTTTTTGTGTTTTTTGTTTGTTTTTGGTTTTCGTGCCGATAATGATAATAATGGTAATTATAAGGTGCACTTGATGATAAAAAATAATTTATGCAAATGAATATTTGTTTTTTGTTTTGCAGAAACTAAAGATTATTTAAGAATTTATTGGCAATACCACCGGCCATACCACCAAAACCACTAACACCACGTCCTAGGCCACCGGATATTCTACCCATAACATTTGTTGTTGCATTCTGTAAACGGCTAACATAGTTTTCTGGATTTGATAATGATGATGTTGATGATCCGCTTAAAATTGATGTTGATGTTTTTCTTGAACGATTTCCACCGGTTATTTGTTCACCACCACTACCACCGTTTGTTGTTGTATGACTTTCACTTGGATTTTTACGTAGAAAAAAAAGTGTTAAAAATTTTCCCGCCAAAAAAAAACAACACTTACTCAGTATCTTCACTTTCACGATGAAGATCATTTGCCGATACGGATGCTGTTGCTTCTTCCATTAGTATACGTTGCATAACTGTTTTATATGTAACTATATTTAATTTTTCCTCTGCAATACCTTGTAGTTCAAAATCATTGTACATTTTCTGTATTTATCGGGATTTTTGGATTCGGGTAAAAAAAAACATTAGAATGGAAAAAAAACGAAAACCGAAAACATACCCGAACAATATATGAAATGGCACATAATTGAAATATATGTAAACTACTATCGATACGTTCCAATAGCCAATTATTGATCAATTCTATTTGTGCTGCATACCATGCCTGATTGATTTGATTCAATGAAAGGAAAAATAATAATGATTAGGAATTTTTCCTGTCCGGAAATTTGTTTTTGGCCATTTTTGTGTTACCTCAAAAAAGCTAAGTACCCATAATTCATCACAAACTTTTTGTCGTAATTGTTCGGCTGAATTTCGAATAAAATTTATATAGGATTTTCCAACATCTTTACCGGTGCTTGATACACCTTTATTGTACTGTATTGGTTGTGTGTGAAAAAAAATCCAATCAAAAAAAAAATAACCCAGAAGCAAAAAATTTAGAAAAAAATTACCGTCAATGAAAGTATCGGTGCCAGAATACTTCCTTCATCATAACGTGATAATTTATTGATACAATTTTCAAGGATTCCATTCAACTAAAACCAGTGAAAAAAGGAAAGATTTTTATTTTCAAGAAAAAAAAACTTGGTGAAAATTTTTACCTTGTTTATCATACAACTTTGCATCATATTCAATGTATTATCCACTAGGTGATCAATTTTTGCATGATATTGATTCTTGAAATGTTTGAAAAAAAAATCAAGCAAAAATGAATATTAATTAGGCGATTGAATTAATTAAGTTAATCAATCAACTAAATATTTACCGTATCATGACCATTAAATGTACATAATTTTAATGATTGATTTCTTGATTCTAGAACAACATTAATCATTGTACACATTTCAGTTGGTATTATATAATCAGTACTTGTTGTCCAACGTGTTGTTCCTTTTCGTTCCCATTGTTGAAATGCAAACATTGTTTGATTTATTGATGTTTCAATCATATCACAAGCCATTAATTTTAAACGTTGTTCTAAATGTGTTGCAAATACATCATCAGGCCAATAAAGATCATGTATAAAATTTTGTAATTGATTTAATTTCCAAAATAATTCTACGGATGTTGCCCAACCAGATGGTCTATAATAATAATGTTTTATAACGATAAACCAACCATCAACCGATCAAAATGTCAAACAAGCAAGCGAAAAAAAAATCATATAAAAACAACGTTTCGTTTGTTTGCAACCATATGTGTGCGTTGTTGATATTGTAATAAAACGATAAAGAAAATTTTATTGAAAAAAAGCCAAAAACAAATAAAAATATTCATTACACACACGAACAAAACAAGCAAACAGTACATACCCTTTAAGATCCCATTTTTCTTTTTCATAACCTTTCAATAATGCCTGGCCAACAGTATTTTCCATAAGATCAACATAACGTATTACTTGTGGTGCAAATGTATCTCTTAAATGATTATGAAAACGACCACCACATAAATTTTCTAAATATATTTGAAAACAAAAAGTTGTTTTTACATTTGGTTTTTTTTCTATAGAAATTAAATTCATTGTTTACCATCTAAACGAAGATAATTATTTAAAACTTGAAATAATGGAAAACTTTCCCATGTATCGGGTGGTTGTAATGATAATATTGTATCCATATCAACAGCAAATAATGTCCAAAATGTTTCACAATGTTCGACAAGTAATTCGGAAAACCAGGCAAATGCCTTGTTTGTGTTTGTTTAATTATCATTAAAAGAATAAAGGAAAAACAAAGAAAAAAACATTCAGTCAGTCAATTAGATTTTATGATGTTTGCATTGATAAACCAATAAAGCATTTTTTAAAAATTTTCATTTCATTTTCATTTTTTCCCCTTCCATTTTGATAAACTTATGCAAAAAAGAAAAATTAGCGTGAAAAAAACAACTTACAACGGAAACCTAATGGGAAACAAAAAATGTCATCATTTGAGTTTTTGGTTGGTTGTGAAAGTGTTAATATCAATGAGAGATAAATGAAATAAAAGTTAGAAAACAGAAAAAAATTATTGGATTTTTTTCTTTGGTGGAAAAAGTCAAATTTGAAAGAAGAAAACAAAAAGGGATGCTGCAGCTTGTTTTAATGAATTTTGAATATGTCGGAATTCGTGAAAGAAGAAGAGAAAAGAAATGGAAAAAAAGGTCGGATGTTTGTTCATTGCATTCGGTAATCAAAGAGTTAAACAGTTTATTTATTGATTTTCGTTGTTCTCTCACTCTCTATCTGATTTTTTTTCTCTATGTTTATTTGTATTTTCAAGATGCTTCAATGTTTGTTCTGCTGTTGTTCGGTTGTTTGTCTTTTCAAATATTGTCGATAAGAAAATGAATGAATGGCTGGGCGTACAAATGTTCATTTGATTTGGAGTATTTAGCCAAAAAAAAGGAACATAACAAACGAATGAAATTCTGTACAAAACACACAGAATAAAATATTGTTTTTTTCCTATGCTTTGTTTAATCAAGAGCAAAAGGAAATGAATTTTTTTGCTTTTTCTTTTGCTTTTTCGTTTCTATGTTGTCGAATCCATGAACAAACAGAAAAATAAATATCGAAACACATTAAAGGGAAACTGATTGAATGAAATGATAATAATCATCAGAATTTTATTCTGATTCAATTTTTTTTTTTTTTTTTTTTTTTTGAAAATTTTTTTTTTTTGGGGAAAAAAAAAAAAAAAAGAAAAAAGTTCCCGGAAAATTT